AGTAACTGGAAACACTGGTTACAACCTTTTTATGTAACAAGAAACACTGAGTACAACATCTGTAAGTAACAGGAAACACTGGTTACAACCTTTTTATGTAACAAGAAACACTGAGTACAACATCTGTAAGTAACAGGAAACACTGAGTACAACATCTGTAAGTAACAGGAAACACTGAGTACAATATCTGTATGTAACAGGAAACACTGGTTACAACCTCTGTAATAAGACACACTGAGTTAACATTGTAACACAACACAACAGCTGTATGTAAGAGCACCAAGTACAATATATATGTTACATGAAACACTGATTTCAGCTTCTATTAGTAACAGGACACACTGGTGCAATCTCTGTATGTAAAGGGAAACTCTGCATATAACCTGTATGTAACAGGAAACACTGGGTTTACTCTGTTACACAACATAACCTCTGTATGTAACGGGAAATGCCATGGTTACATCGTGACATCACACATTTCTGTGTGTAATATTGTACACCATGTTTACTCTGAAACAGCACACAACTTCTGTATGTAACTACATACACTGTATTTATACTATAACACAACATAACTCCTGTATGTAATAGAGAACATTTGTGTTATACTTTGACAGCACACAACCTCTGTATGGAACAGGATACACTGTATTTATACTATAACACAACATAACTCCTGTATGTAATAGAGAACATTTGTGTTATACTTTGACAGCACACAACCTCTGTATGGAACAGGATACACTGTATTTATACTGTAACACAACATATCTCCTGTATGTAATAGAGAACACTTGTGTTATACTATGACAGCACACAACCTCTGTATTGAACAGGATACACTGTATTTATACTGTAACAGCATATTTGTAAAGAGCCAGGCACTTGGGTTTTGTTACATGACACAACTTCTGTATGTAACTGACATCACTTGGTTTTAACACAGCTACTGTATGAAATAAGGCAGCACACTAATCTACAGGGTTTACCTTTAAGTTTACTCAGGAATGTTACATGTCTGTATGTAGTCGTCATGTCAATTTCAAAATGTGTAAATATTAATGAAACAATGATCTTGAACTACTTTTTACTGTCAACCAAGTTTCCTGAAAGTTTGCAGGAACCTTTAATGGCCAAAGGTGAACCAAAATTGCAAATTATATGGTCCTTTCCCTTGCAAGGTCTGAGGGGCAGGGTCAAAAGGGATTTAAAAATCTCCTCCAGATCCAGAAACTGAAGAGCTAAATACTCTTTCTTCTTCATGGATTAAAAGATTTTAAGATGAATTTCAGAATTCCAGGTTTGAACATTTTACCTTGGATGAAAGTAAAGTTTACAACAGGTTATAAATTATGTTTTTTAGCTGAATTTGTTTCATTTCCAATACAAATAACTTGACCCTGGCTGACCTCCAAGGAGCTGATGGGAGGGCCCAGAAGGGGTCAAAATGAACTGAAATTTCATAAATCCTCCTTGAAAGACCCAGGTATATGTAGAATCAAGTATTCTTCATGGATGGAAGAGTGGTAATGTGCTTTATCAAAATGTAAGCGAAGGTCTCAGATATTACCCAGGAGAGCGAGTACATTATATTGTTTATATTGGAAAATTACATTTGTTTATTTGCCATTGGAAATAATGCAAACTTGGTTAGAATCATTTATGTGGGATAGCAGTTAATACTATTCTCATTTCACATTTGCAATACATACACAAAATAATTCAAGTTACATTGATGCATGAAAAAAGATTACCAGTATTTCTGTGATATATGTACACCCAAGCAACAGCTTTCGTGTATATCAGGTGACCAGTTAAGCCCATTGGCCTGTTGTTACATCCAATTAGTTTGCTGGTTATGTGAATTTATATTTGGATCTCCTGGGTCCATTGTCCCCTGTCCTCAGATGGTCCTTTATATTGCTATATTTACAGAAAATCATTGAATTATTCTCAAATTTCATAGGTAGTTTTCTCTTGGTCCATAGTTCTGTAGGGTCCATTTTGGCAGTGATTGGACACACAGCATAGTTTACTAGTGGCCATCTTGAATTTTGACAAAGTAATTTTTCAAGAAGTATTGGATGGATCTATCTCAAATTTCAATTGTAGCTTCCCCTTGGTTTCTAGTTGAACTTGATGAATCATCATCAAATTAGTTGTGCCTTTTTTATTTTGCGACTGATCAGAAAAAACAAACTAAAGGACAGACAGCCATCTTGAATTTGACATTTAAGATTATCATTACTATTTTAATTTTCAGAATTCATATGATTAAGATCAAAAGCAGGGGAAAGAAGAGAAAAGAAGGGAAAAACCTTTTAAGGAACCAAATTAAAAGTAACAATGCTATTCAAAGATCTCTTGTGAATTTGTGATATTTAGCACAAAATTTGGCCTGTTTAACCAATTACCAACTTGCATTTTGAGGAATTACAACCCTTTTTACTAGTAATACATTCTATGTTTACATATAAATCTACAGTCTCGGTTGGGAATTTGTTTCCGACTATAATTTTCATGAATAAATAAAAAGAACAAGCAATGGTCTGTAAAATGTAACATCATTTTAATGAATGTTGAAATTGCAATTCTTGGTTTTAAAATCTATGGTGCTTCACTTCATCTTCTAGAAACTCTTCTTCCTAACCCCTTACATTTTGTATCGCCATTTTTAAGCTAAGAAATGCAAAATTGTTTATTAAAGCGTGTTTCATTTCAAACACAATAAAAAAAAGAGTCTTTTTAAATCATAAAAAGATGTTGTTGATATGCCATGAATTATTTATAAGTGTTTGTCATCAGATATCACAGTATTATTGTAATACAACGCATTTCAAAAATGAAACAAACAGATTTTAGATGTGCTGAATCATAAAAGAAATCCCGGATGTGTGTATCATTAGATATATGTTGTGTTTGGTATTATCTGGCCGTATTTCCCCTGTTAATTGTGAGAAGTTGGCGAAGATATTGATATTTTTGTGAATGTAATAAATGTGTCACCTTGCTCCTCCATGCTGGCCCTGTGATATGGCTGTCCCAGATATGGAGGCCCGTTCCTATACAGTGGCCTGTTGACATGGCAGCCCTAGTTTGTCTGTAATTCTTTACAGCTGTTGTGTGTTATTAACATGGAAATGGGCAGGGATTGTAAAGATACTAATATAGAGTAACTGTCCCAGTGTACTGTGTAGTGTGTTGACTCTCAGGTCATCAGCTGTGCTGGTTACCATGGATACTTTGATCACAAATTCTGCAGTTTTCTCTTTTATAGGCCAATACACATATAACACATATCGTTGGTTTGTTTATGAAAATCATCTATACTCTGTAGTAGTAAGACTAGGCTTAATAATTGGTATGTATTTTCCCTTTTTTTTCACTGTGTATTGTAATATCTGGTAGCAGCTATAAAAATCAACTGAATATGCGTGGTAAATATTGCCATCTATTTAATACCGTACATTATATGTGTGGACTTTTTTAACACAAAGTACCATTTTTTGTTTTTTTCCTTTTAAAACAAGTTCTATTTTAATGTTAGAAAACTGGTGACGAATGAATTCTGTAAATGCTGTTGACCTTCTCCATGCACCATTGCTAGCAGTGTACAGCAGTTGTTCTCCGAGAAGACAACATTGTGTGTGAATCACAGGACCATAATTTTCCCCTATTTGTAATTGTTCCATATCAAGTGGATGTCGTTACAACCAGTAGTGCTCCTGTGTTGTCGTATTAAATCACAAATGGTGGCTGTCAAATTGGTACATCTATTATATTACCCTAGTCTATATATAATGCACATGCATTAGGAGTACACAGGCTGTGAGAGTCTATTGATTGTGGTCGGCTAATTCCCCTCTGTTTTAGTGACTTGAGCATGGCCCTGTAGGGGTTTACTGACAAAATGCATGTGATTCTAGGGAGGGCAGGAATGGTGACATAGAACTAGTGATTAGGGAACCTTTGCTAGCAGGCCTCCGACACAACTCTCCAGTATCTTTATCAACTTCAAATAAGCTGTTTTTAAAATAGTAATTATTAGACTTATTAACAGTGACTGGAAGTGTTTGTTGAACTTGTTGCTGAAAGTAGTTGTCCTGAAGTATGTGAGACATGGAACAGAAATACACACTTATGTGTACTCACTAACAACACACATCCTAACATCCCATAATATGCAGACACATCATCATCTCCAGTCACTAGGCCAGTGTATACTAGATTAGTAGGCAGGATAACACAGGTGTAGTTACATAGGTGTCTGTACATTAAATACTTTGCCATCTTCACTCATCCATGATTTCTTGGCCTATGAATATGCTACACAATGAAGTGGTATACATTTTTACCCAACATATATAAAATATTGCTATCATGCAAAAGACAGGAAATAAGTGGATCAGATTAGCTTTCACAAGTTTATTATCCAGCCCAATTTTTTTCTTCCTTTTTTTTCCTTCTCCATGTCTGAGTATTTATTTTGGCTCTTAAGGTCAGTAATTTATAGTGGAACAACTTCCTTAACCAGATCTTGGAACAGTAAGAAAGTTAATTGTGCCCATAGCCACTGTATATGACATAATGTCAGCCCTCCAGGTATAGTTAGATTTGGATGATTAGGGATTGTATCTTGCCTGAATTTGACAATTTACTGGTCAATACCTAGTATGATGACCAGTGGCCTGAGGTTGTGGTCAAGTGCTATAGGAAGACTTTGAACTAAATGTGACAGGCCATGACTGTCTGTTCCATTTTGCTGGAGGGAGGTGTAATTAGAGAACACACCAGTTTTCTAGCTCAAGATAGTTCAATTGTGGTAACTAAGCAACTGTGCCCAGTATCCATGGTAATGATGCCTGGCTATGCAGAGGGCACAGCTGTGTAGAGACTACATCACATGGGTACTCCAGTCAGCCAGTAGACTGAGATGTTCAGCCAATAGGGATCCAGTCAGTGGGAAGATGTAGCCTTTCATTTGACAATCCCATCATTCACCTTTCCGCTCTGTTGAGTCGGTAGAGACGCCATCTTGATTTCCCTAACAAACAGGACAGCATCTTGTGATGAAGACTTAACTTGAGAATGGTCATTTGTGCTGGAATGTAATGTAAATAAGAAACTGGAGTTTAATTTGTGAACTTGGAAGATAACACAGTAGGTATATATACTACAGAGCACTTGTTACACTTGGCCTTCTACACTATCAGTCCAGATTAGATTAGACACACATATGTTTATAGCTTTGCCCCATGTGTTGGTTTCTCTTCAGCCTCACAGAGTTACGTGAAAAAGTTGGTAAAGTTTTTACTGATCTAGTGTGACATGATTGGCTTGAGTAGGGAGGTGTGCTGCTATGTATTGATCAGTCCATAGGTAAGTGAGATTTAAAGCCCAGTCATACTCCACTACATCTGCTATCTAGTGGCACAGGGACTCAACGTGTCCACCATTCTTTTATAAACCTGTAAGTCCTACTCACTAGAGTTCTTCACTTTAATTACATGTTTGTTTTATTGTCATAATGAAATTAAGATTGATGGTATTTTTTATACTTGTGTTATAAACTTTTCTCTGTAAATTTTTTATGGAGAAAATAAAATGGAATATTACTGTTGTGATGCAGAAATATGCTGATGTATTGGACTAACTCTTTTGCTACGTGGACACCCATTACTAGGACAAGCAGCAAGGGTTACTTCAGGCCATTGTTAAAAAACTCCACAGTAACATGTTACTCTTGTGTATGTTTTGTGAGAGGTTTATGACTTTATCAGGGCACCAATAAAACCATGGGATATGAAAGTGATTATGTTCATAGATATAGCATAGGGTTTTAGGTCACTGCTCTATAGCCCACTTATGATTGTTTTTGATTCAGCGTTTTTTTTTCCTGGACCTTGCAATAATAAAAGTACTAACATTGTCCTAGCCTGTCCTTATGTCCTACAGTAGCTAGTACTGACAGTGTCCTATCTTATCCTTATGTCCTGTAGTAACTGATACTTATAGTGTCCTAGTCTGTCCTTATGTTCTACAACTTGTACTGACAGTGTCCTACAGTAATTGATACTGACAGTGTTCTATTTTATCCTTATGTCCTACGGTAACCTGTACAGACAGTATCCTATGTTATCCTTATGATCTATAGTAACAGATACTGATAATGTCCTAGTCTGTCCTTTTGTCCTATAGTAACTGATACTGATTGTGTCCTAGTCTGTCCTTATGTTCTACAACTTGTACTGACAGTGTCCTACAGTAATTGATACTGACAGTGTCCTATCTTGTCCTTATGTCCTACGAAAACTTGTACTGACGGTATCCTATGTTATCCTTATGCTCTATAGTAACTGATACTGATTGTGTCCTATCTTATCATTATGTCCTATAGTAACTGATACTGATTGTGTCCTGGTCTGTCCTTATGTCCTATAGCTGCTAGTACTGACAGTGTCCTATCTTATCCTTATTTTCTTTAGTTACTGATATTGTCCTAGCTTTTCCTTATGTCCTACAGCAGCTAGTACTGACAGTGTCCTAGCCTGTCTTTATGTCCTACAGCAGCTAGTACTGACAGTGTCCTAGCCTGTCCTTATGTCCTTTAGTTACTGATATTGTCCTAGCCTTTCCTTACGTCTACAACAACTGACAATGACAACATCTTAGCTTATCTTTTAGTCCTAAAGTAAGTGGTACTGACAGTGTCCTAGACACCCATTTAGTCCTAAAGTAAGTGGTACTGACAGTGTCCTAGACACCTATTTAGTCCTATAGTAACTGATATTGACAATATCCTAGCCTGTCCTTCATCCTATTTATAGTAACAGGTAGAGACTAGATTCTTTACTCTGTACCTAATACAGGGCTATCATATCATTTTCGCATCATATACATAATCAATATGTATCTGCAAAGTCACCATGACAATTTAACAAGTAATATGGAATATAAAAGTTAAAAAAACCACACAGATTATCTATTAAACGTGATAAGATTGAAAGCATTGAATTGATAGTTAATTGTAAAGGCTATATACCAAGGTTGTAGGGTAGTAGTTACCTGCGAATACCTCCTGCTGTACCAGCTATCATCCTGGCATTTAACCTCTAGTTACCTGTCCAAATCCTCTTACATCAGGTGTAAATGTGTTACCTGTGATGTATAAACACCTGTGATCTGCTGTAGGGTGGGGCTTGATCCCCTTAAACGTCTGCATTTGTCCTTGCTATGTTACCTGTATGTTCACTGCATTTCACTGACGCTTCCAAGTATGAAACCAGGTAAACAAAGGTAAGATGGCAATGATGGAATCAGCCTCTGAACCAATCATAAGCCAGATAACAAGGGTGACTCAGCCACACTGCTTTGTTCTTACAAAGCTAGCTTGGTGAACTACTAAAGCATCATGTATCCTGGCAGCCCCACTGCCTAATTACCTAGAATGATATATTGATTCAACAACCTTCCGCAGGATACTTTCAGTTTTTGCAATTTCTTAATACCTCAAATATCAGAGTGCAACAAAGTGTTGTCATGCACATCTATTCTCAGTGTTCATAGTAACCATGGCAACTATTACAACATTATTATGGTAAAACGACCAAGTGTCATGGATGATGTGATGTACTGTGTGAGAGGGTAGGAAAGGGCCATCATGGATCTATGGCTACGACGTCTCGAGTATAGTGCCGAGAAACTATCCAGGTAGTCTCCTGTTATACTAACTTTCTTATTGTTCTATTGGTAGACGTTAATTTCTGATGAAAATTTATATTTATTCACATCAGATGTCCTTTTTTTGACATACATTATCTCGAAAAGTAGTGTTTTATGAATTCTTTAATAACCTGTATGTTTTTGGAATGGAATAGATGAAATAAATTATGGAATTAGAAAGTTCCTTTAGGTGAAAGGTCCTACAATAGACATTGATTTTGTTGTGTATAAGTACACAGGTGGTCAATTGCTTCTTATTAATGGCTTATTGTTATGTATACAAGTAATTCATGGCTCTGTCAAATAATCACCTGTACAGGTACTATAATGACTGTCTGTGTGAAGGGTTTCCTTTCACAGTACCTATTTAGTTATTATCATTTCCTCAACAATACTTGTTTTCTTTACACTAGTATCCCCAGTCAGGTAGATAATTACCTTTAACCCTACAGGTAAGTACTCTAGACAAATACCTTAATTTGAGCAGTTTAGATAAAAGGATGTGTTTGTAGGCACATTTAAAGGTGTGTGTTTTTCAATTAATGAGAGGCCCTTACATATGATTAGCAGTAATTATTATGTCATCTCCAGAAAATTTATATAGTTACAGGACTATTTCTTGGTCTTTTTCTTATTCCCTCTGACCATTGTATGTCCAGTTTGGTAATGTAAGAGAGGTTTGGTCTTCCTTGATAGTGTAAGGTCAGTATAGTTACTGCATCATGACACTTGTATTAAATACACCTTTTTTATTTTCATGTCACTCTAATTATTGTTAAAAAATCGCTTGTTAAAGGTATATCAAAATGTCCTACTCCAAGATGAGGTACTATTGATGTATCAGATCTTTTGAAGATAAAATATTTTGGTAGGGACAAACAGCTTGAACATTGATGTAATTTAGGATTTTATTGCCTATGTAATGTGTCAGGCTATTGACACCAGGCTGTACTCTGTCATGGGACAATTGTAATAGATAAGATATGCTAGGTTGACACACTGTGTGAGATTTGATTACATCATGCATCTAAATTTGTGTCATATCATAATGGGATACACTTGCATGCTAGGATGTACTTATGTAGTAGGATACATATTAACTTATGGATACACGTATTTCAATTTATCATGAAATTAAATCTGAAGCTTTCATTTGATGTTGTATTAGATTAGAAGATCTTGCATTTTATATGGTAATTTTAACTAATGATTGATTAGATATGTAAAACATATCAATTTCCATCTGCAAAAAATAACATGGTACCTTAAAAAGTACACTGACAGATAATGTGTCAATTGTTTTGTACATAATGTTTGCTGATGATAAAGTCTGTCCCAGTCAATATTTGTCTTTTGTCATGAGTTTATATGGCATGTAGATAGATCAGCTTTAGTCGACAAACTTTTATAATTAGTTTGTAGGAAAATCCTAACAATTTCTATATATACATGTGTAAATATTGCTTATTCATAACAAAATACTGGTAAATATTCCAGCTATTCGGAAAGTATATACAAGACTGCACAGTCACACACAGGTAGATTAAACAGAAATAGTAATTAGGAAATGATATTAAAATACTAGCTCTAAAAACATGTAAGATTTATGAGGAAAAAAATCACACAAAAATGGCATTTAGTTATTTCATAAGTTAAACACTTGTAAGAACTGAATTACAGATTTGTTTTGTAAGTGAAGCAAAAGATACAATTGTTTATAAAATAACACTGCACAGGAAGTGTGTGAGATATCCAGATGTCACTCTGTCTGTCCCTGTAATTTTATACACATGTTACCATGGCGATTGAGTACAACAACCCACAGGTAACATGTTGTGGCTCCAATGAAAGGAGGAGGAATGTCACACCTGACTGACTGTGTTGAATGATAGTAGGGTTTACCGACCATAGTAGTGTCTGACTGTCGCTTTAAACACACCAGACACTTTTTTGATGATCAGTTTTAGGAAATTTTCATTTGACTGGAAGTTAAACATCATGGACTGTTATCAGAAATCTTTAAAAATGAACATGTGAGCAGTGGAAGATTGCTGTATGTCAGTAAGTTTTGGTTACCTCAGAACTCTTGTTACTCATAACAAAAAACCATCTAGCAACTATCTCATGTGGTACTCATAAAACATCTCAGAACTCAAAGATGACCTTTACATGTCCAGTGTGTCCTCAAAAGACTACAAAGTGTGACTAAAAAGACCTTGTCATGTTTGGTGACCCTACAGTTTTTACAGTCTTGCAATAGTCTTCTTGGATCTGCTATTTGTGACCCCATCTGAGGCCCCTGTTTTGTGAACCCTACACTGTTAAGGATCTGCAATTTTGTATCTAACCCAATGCCTCCTTTGGGTATGATATTTTGTAACCCTTCCAGAAGCCCCAATTTGTGCCTTTTTGAAAATTGTTCAGTTTGTGACCCCACTACCCCCCATCCCCAATAAGAATGGCTGCTGTTTTGTGACCTCCCTCTAAGAATCTGTTATTTTGTGACACTTCCAGTTCCCTCTATCAGGTGACCCCTATAGTTTCTGCATGCTGTTTTGGAGTCACAAATAGTGTTTGCCAAATCAAGGCACCACGAGAGGACATGTTTTGCGACCTCTTCAGGGTAACACTACAGCTACCAAAGACACATGGTACATATTTTTACCATATGGCTGTGTTCATTTTGCTTTTGTTTCTTGAAGTTTGTTCACTGCACTAGATGCAGGACATTCCTGACTACACAGACAGTAATTGTGCATGACATTTGTCTTGTTGATAGGTCACATAAAAGTCTCGTTATATTTCGGTACTGCATTTTATTTATCGTTTTAAAAGCAGTGCAACGATTAGGATTACTATCTACATGGCATTCAAATGTCCTATTTACGTTTTTGTCCATGGCCATGATAACAAGTATCCTGTTGTTTGAAATATTTTTTTCATCTACTGCCATTGTAACCTTGTCCTGTTCTTAAACTCTCTGTGCATTGCTCATCAAACAAAGCATTACTATAGTGACCCTAATGACCTCTCTGCCTCTGGAAATGGCTGTTGCATCCCCTTTAATCTGGTGTTTTGACCTCTGACCTTAGAGTAAATTTTTTGTTTGGATGTTTACATCTCATTTTATGCTGGCTCATGGTGTAATTGCAGTATCTCATGCTCTTCATGTAGACAAGCTGGTATCAAAGTATAATACATTGACATGTCCTAATGTAATGTCCTGTTTGTAAGGATGCAGTCCTATTGTATAATACATTGACATGTCCTAATGTAATGTCCTGTTTGTAAGGATGCAGTCCTATTGTATAATACATTGACATGTCCTAATGTAATGTCCTGTTGTAAGGATACAGTCCTATTGTATAATACATTGACATGTCCTAATGTCATGTCCTGTTGTAAGGATACAGTCCTATGGTACATTGACATGTCCTAATGTAATGTCCTGTTTGTAAGGATGCAGTCCTATTGTATAATACATTGACATGTCCTAATGTAATGTCCTGTTTGTAAGGATGCAGTCCTATTGTATAATACATTGACATGTCCTAATGTAATGTCCTGTTTGTAAGGATGCAGTCCTATTGTATAATACATTGACATGTCCTAATGTAATGTCTTGTTTGTAAGAATGCAGTCCTATTGTATAATACATTGACATGTCCTAATGTCATGTCCTGTTGTAAGGATACAGTCCTATGGTACATTGACATGTCCTAATGTAATGTCCTGTTTGTACAGTCCTATTGTATAATACATTGACATGTCCTAATGTAATGTCCTGTTTGTAAGGATGCAGTCCTATTGTATAATACATTGACATGTCCTAATGTAATGTCCTGTTTGTAAGGATGCAGTCCTATTGTATAATACATTGACATGTCCTAATGTAATGTCCTGTTTGTAAGGATGCAGTCCTATTGTATAATACATTGACATGTCCTAATGTAATGTCCTGTTGTAAGGATACAGTCCTATGGTATGATACATAAAGTATATAAGTGATATATTGTTCTGAAAGTGCAGACATACACAATTCTATCTTTTTAGTACTTACAGTGAAATTGTAACTTTTCAAAAAAGGTATATATATAACTACAGGTTAGTACTTGAAGTGTTTGTTTATTTTTTCCGTGTAAAAGTGGCATATGACTTACTCTAATACTGATTTTTTTATCTTATTTCAGTGTGTTCATGACTCTGTTGACAATGGCCCCGACTCGCACGGAGGAGAGCGATGCCCACATGCGGGAGCGACTGGTAAACAGCCTGAGCCAGTCCTTTCCAGGTAGCGCCCTCTCACGTGCCCTACAGTGCATGCAGCCAGAGTCTGATGACGACGAGTTCAAGTTGGATGATGACATGCTCAGTAGCAGTTGTTTTGCTGAACTACGGCTGGAGAAAGGTCCCATTGAGGATGACGATTTGACAAGTTTGTCATGGTTACAGGACACCAATCTTCTACAGAACATAAATGCTGAGGAAGATGAAGAAAACTTGGAAGGACAGAAGGAAAACGGAGATACGAAAGAGGGAAACCACTACAACCAATCGCACCCACCACATGTGCCATACAATCCACAGAAACATGTCAACAGCAAACCACCATATTCCTTCAGCTGTTTGATATTCATGGCAATCGAGGACTCTCCACAGAAGAAACTGCCAGTGAAAGACATTTACTCATGGATTTTAGGACATTTTCCGTACTTTCAACATGCCCCTACTGGGTGGAAAAACTCTGTGCGACACAACTTATCTCTCAACAAGTGTTTCAAAAAGGTGGATAAAGACAGAGGACAGGTAAGAATATTGTACAGCTCTGCTCTTCTACATACTTCATTTGTGTTTCTTCATCCTTCCCAACAGCCCCCTTCAGCCATCTATACAAAAGCATTCTATGAAACTTGCTGTGAATAACTGCTTTGGTGAAGTGATGTTACTGTGCACCTATCCTCATGATGTCACTTTAAGAGTGCAAATTTATTTATCCTTTTTAAATTCCTTCTGTCAATGGGAATATGCTGATATTAACTATTGCTATCTGATATACAATGAGTGATGCCCTTATTTAAATATAAACTTCTTATAAATGCCAAATCTGCCAAATACAAATTCAGCACAAATTCAGAATCATCCCAGTCACAAATGATTCCCACATACCGGTATACAAATTCACTCTACCTACAGAATAATCACATATGCAGGTTCAAGCTAAATACTGCATTATCCTGCACACAGATTCAACCTTTAACGAATTCATCACACAAACCATTTACGGGGTAATTTCACATACAAGTTTAACACGCATCCCATTCACCAATTCACACCACAAACAATTTCACTCTATTATATACATATTCATTCTACATAGAGAATCATTCATTGAAAATTTCATTCTATAGACAATTACAACCCACCAACATATTCACCACACACAGAATCATTCTATAGACAATTTCAACCCACCAACAATTTCACCACACACAGAATCATTCTATATAAGATTTCATCCCACCAACATATTCACCAACACAGAATCATTCTATAGACAATTTCAACCCACCAACATATTCACCACACACAGAATCATTCTATAGACAATTTCAACCCACCAACATATTTACCACACACAGAATCATTTTATATAAAATTTCAACCCACCAGCATATTCACCATACACCGAATCATTCTATAGACAATTTTCAACCTACCAACATATTCACCATACACTGAATCATTCTATAGACAATTTCAACCCACCAACATGTTCACCAAACACAGAATCATTCAACAATTTCATCCTACAAACAAATTAACTACACATATTCATCCTACATATAAATTCATGCTACACTCAAAACCTCTTACAAAATTCACCATACACACAGAATCACCCCACACACAAATTCTACCACAATATTAGCAAAGCTACAATTACCATTATCATAGCATTAGCATTTCAATTAAAAAAAATATAAGATCAATTCTTTTACTTTAATACCTGTATTAACTTATAAGTTATATTGAAGTGGTAGGTTGTGCTTGTCACATTATATCTCAATACTGTAATAGTTAATAGCTATTAAACCCTACAAAACTGACCAGTGTACTGGAATTAAATGTGTTGCCGGGCAACACACAAGATTTTACCATCACTGAAATGTGTAGGATGAAAAAATTGAAAAAAAAAGCTTAAAAGGATTGATAAATAGGTAGTTAGAATTGATTCAAGCGTATTTATCACTGATAGAGCTTTATACATAAATACCTAATCATAGTCATTTTCCTGATATATCGTGAAACAGTCCTGTGTTGAATCAATGAATCTGTCTCCCCTTTGAAGCAGGGACTGGAGATTACTGTGCTAACTACTTAAATCAATTATCTGAGAATGACATACTTAATGAGAAGAATAAACTGGTAACATATCTTTGATATGTTTGAACATTTACCATTGTACATTATAACAAACAAGCTGATTGGTATAACAGCACACTGTCTCAGAGAGACATCTAAACAGTGTGTGGATGGTTCCCACTTCGAACAATTATCAGTTATAATAACTGTATTAGCCACCATTCGATATCTAAATTGCATTTTTAGTTTGTTGAGTGACAGACATGTCCTTGCAGTAACAGATGGTGTAGGATCAGAGAATTAGCTTTAAAAATCAAGGAAGAGGCCTTGATAGCTTAGTCAATTATAGAGCATTGGCCCACTGGACCTCAAGTGAAGGTCAGAGATGAGTAGTTTGATGCTGCCTACCTGGGATGGTTTGTTTCTCAGAAAACTGAAAAAAATAAAACAGTCTGTGTTGACATGACTGTGTCCTTGCTCTGTAAGGCAAATGATTTACCTTCCATATGTTGTTCATTGACAAAGCCACCAGCCACTTTCAGGAGAGTGACTCAAAATGACCCTTGCTGTTAACAGGGATATGATCTATCAAAAAAACTTAATAAATGTTCCGAAAGTATTGAGCTACTATAAAAACACAAGCTGGTACAACACCAAACATTTCCACTTGCTTAAACAATATGTTTAAAAAAGACAGTTTTTTATGTTGTACTGTGAAATCAATCATTTTCATGGAGAATTTATTTTGGTAAATTTCATGATTACTCTTGACTTATGAATGTCCATGAATGTAAGAACATTTATTAACCGAACATTTCAAAATTATGATTTCTTGGAAGATCATGAATATTGTACCCCCTTGGAAATATAGGTTTTTACAAATAATAACCTGTCTAACAATGTATCTAAGCACAGTAGCTAAGTGTAACTTGGCTAAATATGGTACACAAGATTTTTTTTATAATGGTTATTACCAATGTAATAGGAAATGATAACAGATTTTGTAAGTTTAATAGTCAGCTAGACATTTTACTCAGTGTAACCTCTTAGTCAGACATGATGCAAGCAGTTAGATAAGACTAGATCAGGATTATACATGCATTGTGTGATGAGGTACTAAGTGGAATTAGCACAGCAGGTGCCCTCTGTACAGGAGTGGTGTAGCTGTCTCCTACTGTACCCTACAATAGCAGGTCTACACCCAAGGACATAATTATGGGCCCAGGCCCTTAACTGTAGCTTTACACGACACCAGTTAGTTCAAAGCACCCTTTTCCATGACTTGACATTTCATCACAACTACAATTAACTATACTATGAATATTCATACATATTATTACCACAACACTTCTTCTCCTATTCCTTAGGTAAGCATGTCTTAATTCATTTATCAGTTAAATAAAAAAACCCAGTTAATTTCTAAGCTACAATTAGTGTTTGGTGAAGCATAATACCACTGATCTGATGTCTGATTTCTACTGTATTAACGGGACAACCCTTGCGTAGACTTGGGGGTCAGTACAACAGGGTGTTGATGACCTGTTCTTGAGAATACTGCAGTGTGTTTATCTGTGTAGTGGGTAAAGTCTAAACTTCTCAGTCTAATCCTGCATTCCTGATCACCACACATCTATCTGTACTGAACACCTGGTGTGGTGTTGTCCCCTCTTGTTGACCTCTGATAGTGGGTTGATATCATGGTCGTGTGTTTCTCCTAAAGATGTCTGTTGTCACCTGCTTCATTCCCATCCACTTCAGAATGAGCTGAAACAAGAAACTTGATTTTTGAAATCTTCCATTAGGATGGTATATTGTAATCATGTTTCAGTATTGTTGAATCCTGAACCTGGTCAAAAAATACAAAAAAAAGACTATTGTTGTTGGTACTTCAGTAGCTGTTAACATAAACAGTTGTTGATTTAAATTAATCAGCTTGCGGGACTTCAGTAGACAGTTATGTAAGGGGTTAGTGGAGGTTAATTTGACTCTAACAGGATGGCTGTATATGCTGTACATGTTGTAAATATATCATAACAGGAGTTCATAGCACTCGAGTTGCATTATAATCCAGCCCAGTCCTGTAGGAAATCATAATTTAATTCAACAGGCCAAATTATTTCAATTTGTACAGTTGCCATCTGGAGAGTGAGGCAGGTCATGTAAAGTAGAGAGACTCCAAGTAGATCTCCATGACAACAGTATAGTCCTGTGTGCCTCAGCCATTTGTATTCACAGCTAGGTTACCATAGCTACCAAATTCAGTAGTGTCTAGCTGTAGCAACACATAGCCAGCAACCACCATGGAGAGGCTAATCAATGTTTGTTTCTCACCCAATCTCGTGTTAGCTAAGTTTAAGTCCTAAAAAATAAGACAAGAAAAGAAAGAACCCACTGAGGTGAAAAAGTTGAATTCCCAAACTTTGGTTGTTAAAAAGCTTGGACTGATTCTGCCAGCAATGTAAAAACGTATATTTCTATGTACCCAGTCTATGTTAAAGGTTGCTACTTTATGCAGTAAGGTAGACTATAGTACATTAAAATACATTAAAAATAGTGTAGGGGAGGGGGAGAAATGAGGACTGTTATGTATACAACAAATCACATGATATAAAATATTAATGAGTAAAATTGATATTGGTTTGGAGCTTTATGTGTAAATGGTATTGTGAATGTCTGCTAAAACAAGCAATATTTGGGATATTAATTTTCCCTGTGGTTAAGCATCTAAGCAAACCTCAGTAGTTTATGCACAGCAAACATTTCATGTGAGATAGCTTGATTATCAAGGGGGGCATTTGCTTGCTCCAGGTATGATACATTTTGATAATGTGATAGTTCCTGTGGGAGAGCTATTCATTGTAATACCTGTGACTTCAGATTATGATGGTCAGTCAATAAAAATGAAATACATTTTGTCGTTAGTTAGACACACAGCAAGGCATCATGTTTCAGAGAGAAAAAAAAAGAAGAAAAAAAAAGAATCTTGTTTCATCCTTGTATTTATATTTGCTGTTGGTGATGGATGATTGTGTCTATTTACAGAGTATTGGTAAGGGATCACTATGGTGTATAGACCCGGACTACAGACCTAACCTGCTGCAGGCGCTCCGGAAGACGCCCTATCATCCCTACCATCAGCTTCAGATGCTGGCTAACCCACAGCCATCTCATCAGTACTCCTTTGTCCAAAAGTAGGTAGCTCTGAGTAAAATCCTCAGTAATGAATCAATATTTACACCTGGGACATGTAATACTGACAAAAAAGACAGATTATCAGTGATAAATTTTACAGTATTCTATCACTGTATTTAAGGACAACTGTAGAAGACAACTGTGTGACATCATCTCAACTGTACAACATATCTCATTGTAGGTGAAAATTGTATTACAAACATCCATGTAGGAGACAACTGTATGACAAACATTACCAGTTGAAAACTGTTTGGCAAGCATTAATGTAGGCGACAACTGTATAACCAAAAACACTATAGGTGACAAAAATGAAAAAGGTCACTGTAGGTGTCAACTTTATGACACTTATTATTGTTGATGAAAACTGAATGACTAACATCACTGAAGGTGACAACTCTATGACAAACATAACTGAAGTTGACAATAGTGTGACCAACACCATTGTAGACGACAACTATGACAAATATTATTCTAGGTGATAACTATGTAACATACATAACTGTAAGTGACAAATTTTCATCTGTAGGTGATATACCTTAGTACATGACAACTGTATGAAGATGTATCCTTAAAGATATCATGAGATGTCACATCTTCATTAAAAATGCACTGTTGAGGAGACATGACCTTTTGTAAACACCGTTTAAATACTTCATACAACATTAGATCTTTGTGAAGGGTGAATTAAAGCTGATGGGGTCCTATATTGATCTGTTGCTATGTAAATCACAAGCCCACACCATAACTATTGTTAGTGGCAACAGCTGCACATCTCCTGGCTTTAACAGAATATTTAAATGTTTGAATTAATTTAATTTGATGAAAAAGTGAAAAAAGCCTGACTGGCTATATGAACATTTGAAAGGATATATGCTTTTGTTACTGGTGAATTTGTTGGGGAAAACGTATTTCTGAGATTATACGGGTGACTGATTTCAGATCATATAAACAAAAAAAATGAAAATGATATTTCCTTACTGTGGTTTCTTTAGAGAGTATCAAGCCAGCATTGTGAACTATTTAATTATGTATTTCCTGTAGCTGTAGGAAGATTTAAAAACAACATAATGAAAAAAGGAGTTGTTTTGTCTGTGCCTGACCTGGAAGGGAGTTTAGGCACTCTGGTTGCTCTCTTACTGATTGGTTTGAGGATGTTATTTGGAATAGCTCAGTAAATGGCTCCTGAGTGTCCACATACAGTTCCTGGTGTGTTTTGGATCAGGTTGAGTTTGATTTGACCTTTGACCTCATTCAATAGATTGTCTGCTGCATCATGGGATGTCCACTGGGAAATTGTACAAATAGATATCAAATATTGTTATTAGTTTTGTGTGTCGGAATTTGAATTGAAAAGTCAATCATCATTCACAGTTTTGTTGAATGCTTTTGCTGCTTGGAGGCAGTAGTCATTTATATAGGGGATTATGTTGGTGATGGCACAGTTTAGTGGTTGTGGACAACAACAAAGCTGTATTAATCATAATTTTGAACCAGCTTGGTAGTCATGTAACTTTGGTAACACTGATTTTGTTATGTTACTGGTTGCAATGGGTAGAGTAAGACCTTTGTTAACAGCTTAGTACAAAACCCTTAATAAATCACGTTGGTAACAATGGTGTAGCTACATATCGTCTAGTAACAACTTTGTAATCATTTTATGTAAACATCAAAATGTGTAAACAATGGTATAGTTACATTACTTTAATGACTGGTTGGATTAATTACATTGTAACAATGTTGTAGTTACATAACTTAAACAATTTGTTAGTTTGCTAATATAATAACAACAGTGTAGTTACTTCTGGTACCGGCTGGGCTTCAGGGTAAATTTGAGGACAGGTGAAGTCCTACTGAAAAGCTTTTGTTGTTGTGTATGGCCGAGTGTCTATACACACATGTGGAGTGGTATGTTACCATGGTAACAGGAAGCCTAGCTAGGCCTGAGTAACCAGTGGAGCAGGAAGTGAATGTTGGGCTAGGGGTAGTGTGTGTTTCCTCAGGCCAGCCTTGACAGTGATGTATGAGTGTTCTATTTATAAGTCCTCACTGCCAGACACATGTATGGTCCTTAGTGTCAATGTCTGCTTCTAACCAGGGGCCATATACTGACAAATAAAACATGCCACATTTCAAAACAAGTCAAATTTTTACAACAACAGATTTGTTTTATTTTGTGGCCAAAGGTGTATCTCTGTCTTTACTTATATGATGTAATACCCTGACTTTACACTCTGTCTTTGAATTGCCCTGTAACTTTACGCTGTATTGTATAGCAGACTGACGTCATTACACTCTAGTTTTACACTGTATGACACTCTGATGTTACACTCTAGTTTTACACTGTATGACACTCTGATGTTACACTCCAGTTTTACTCTGTATGACACTCTTATGTTACACTCTAGTTTTATACTGTATGACACTCTGATGTTACACTCTAGTTTTATACTGTATGACACTCTGATGTTACACTCTAGTTTTATACTGTATGACACTCTGATGTTACACTCTAGTTTTATACATGACACTGTGTTATAGTTTTACACTGTATAGCAGTTATCACTGATGTCATCACACTATGTAGCAACCTTATGTTACACTCTAGTTTTACACTGTATGACACTCTGATGTTACACTCTAGTTTTACACTGTATGACACTCTGATGTTACACTCCAGTTTTACTCTGTATGACACTCTGATGTTACACTCTAGTTTTATACTGTATGACACTCTGATGTTATACTCTAGTTTTATACTGTATGACACTCTGATGTTACACTCTAGTTTTACACTGTATGACACTCTGATGTTACACTCTAGTTTTATACTGTATGACACTCTGATGTTACACTCTAGTTTTACACTGTATAGCAGTCTGACTTATCACTGATGTCATCACACTATGTAGCAACCTTATGTTACACTCTAGTTTTACACTGTATGACACTCTGATGTTACACTCTAGTTTTACACTGTATGACACTCTGATGTTACACTCCAGTTTTACTCTGTATGACACTCTGATGTTACACTCTAGTTTTATACTGTATGACACTCTGATGTTACACTCTAGTTTTATACTGTATGACACTCTGATGTTACACTCTAGTTTTATACTGTATGACACTCTGATGTTACACTCTAGTTTTACACTGTAAAGCAGCCTGACTTTATTCTAATGTCATTACACTCTAGCAGCCTGGCTTTACACTGCTATGACCATGTTCTATGTCATTAACTGTATATTATCCTGACTTTACGGTGATACTACACTGTAAAGCAGTCTGACTTTACACTGTTATACACATTAATCAGGCCAAAATTACCCAGTTTGACTGGCTAATTTTACACTGTATATAATGTCTAATATTATTACACTGTGCATACACTCAGATTACAATGTTGTTATTACACTGTCTGTACAAAACATTACTTACTGCTCATTTCATTTCGTTACTCCAAATTTCAGTGGGACTGTTTTGCCACTCTATTTGTATATGATTAATGAGTATCTGTAGATATTATGTTCACAGTTACATTTGATAAATCTTTATGAATATTCATGACCTTTGTTTATTTTCAGTGGTCCAAAACCCCTACCCCTGACCCCTCGGCTGGGACACAACTCCATCTCACCTCGTAAGTTAATCAACATACAGACACTAATTTCACCTGTATACTGATGTTGTAATTCTCACACATTATATTTTATAATAAACTGTGTGTGCACACTAAATATGTCACTTCTCAAAGTAGTCTTAGACAACAGAAAACAAGAGGAAGATAACAGAGTCTGTATGTAGGAAAGAGGCTGATAGTAAGTGATTACAACATTCCTACAAGAACAGGTCGGACGACTTCACTTTCGGGAACAATTATAGTTAGGAACCATCTATTATGGAGAATTAGTGGACTGTTTAAATCACACAGTAATTGTCTGTGTAATATTTGGAAAATTCTGATAAGTTTTAACTTGTGAAAATATAAAGATTACTAAATTTATTAAGAAATAATGCAGAAATTTAACAATACAATGATTTTTACTAAGTAGTTAAGTTGTAAGCTATTGTATGGTATGTTGTAGTGACTGAAATAGCTTCCTATGTCATCTAGTCTTTTGCCTAAAACACTATCAGTGAATACCATGGTGGCTGTTGTGAAAAATTGATTGTAAAAGTAAGGTGAAACACTATATGCATGTATGACAATATGGATAAATATCAGATCGTGATGAAAAAGATAAAAAAAGAAAAGAAAATTATGAGATGAATCAATGTTTGGACACTAGCCATGAAGTATTGACAAGTAATCTAGTCACATCCCTGGGCTCCTGATATTGTCTGCTGGTTTTTACGTTCCATGTACCATTTAAGTGCACAAAACAAGGATTGGCCTCAACCGATTATTTCACACCCTGTTCGTGTTGGATACCATTAGAAAATTTTCAGTATCTGAAAATTGAAAATAAGACTTGACAGACATGAGGGCACAACTGGCTTTCTGTATTTTATGTTGTCATGGTTATCTCTTTCTTTATCCTTGTTGCTAGGACACTTATTCTGTTTACATATATAATGCACCGTTTAATTTTGTTGTGTGTATATCGCTTTTCCAGATTTATTCCCATTTTTGAGCAAGAGATTGGCACAGTCGAACTGTGATATAGGTAAGTTCTGAATAGCAAACAAAATACAAACTCCCAGATCCCAGATACTAATTACTATAGCTTTATCCATCTGTCAGGGAGCTTGGGACATACCACTGTCTGTGGTCAGAAAGGTAGGGTAATACCACCATATCTAAGGTCAGAAAGTTGGGTTAATACCATCATATCTATGGTCAGAAAGTTGGGTAATATCATCATATCTATGGTCAGAATGTTGGGTAATACCACTATATCTATGGTCAGAATGTTGGGTAATACTACTATATCTATGGTCAGAAAGGTTGGTGGGTTAATACCACCATATCTAGGGTCAAAATGTTGGGGTGGGGTGGTACCACTTTATCCATGGTAAGGTAGGTTGGTACACATTGCTGTATGTATGAGAAAAAAAATGTGGTATTTTACCAACATATTCATGATCAGAAGCTTTGGACATACCACTAATCAAAGTGGTGATATTCCAATGAGAGGACACTGACCCATGGATTTGCTATCTTATTTTGTAGACATTTCAATGTAGGGGGGGTCATTGAGGGACAACTCAGACATAAAAAATGAAGGTCATGGATTAGGGAGGTTTCATGTTGTGTCTGGTGATGTCAGGAGAAAGATGAGTTGGTTGCTAAGGGAGAGCTTTGGTGACGGTTGCTTGTAACAGGATCTTAGGCCTGAAACATGATACAGTCAGGATCCTTGCATTGTTTGTCTATTTCTTTGGTAATATCTGCTAAGGGACCCCTAACATTTGCTTTACTCATGTAGACAGAATATCTGTAAAATGTTCTATAAACAGATTTGATACAAATTAAATAATAAAGAAGCTGATTGATATAGTTGTATGACATTCACTGCCATCTGCCTGAATTATTTTGAAACAATACAAAGGATAATAATAAGAACTGTTTTATCCCATGACTGTACAACTTAATAGGCTGATGCAGTCAATAGCATTATAGCACCATCTGTGTACATGTATCCATGGTAACTGGCTAGCAGTGAGTGGTCCAGCTGCCTCTGTACCAACAAAATGGAAGCTGAGTGGAACACTCTCTTCTGCTGCCTCCCCTGGGTAGGCTACAGTAGTGGAGGAATAAAAGTATTGATTTCATCTCCCCAGCTCTCAGGATGTGATTTCCCTTCATTCAAATCTTTCCATTGTCGATCATCACGAATAAAAGTTTTCAAATAACATTGTTGTAACAATTACATAGGACTATTGTCTTAATAAGTTGTGTGAATTATGAGGTGAACTGGATGTTTGATTATCATTGCCATGTTGATAGACTGATTAGTATCAGGAAATTTACAATTATTGGCTCTCCTTGGTATTGAGAGAGTGAAATGGCGAGGAAATTGGAGGACATCAGATAGACTTTTTAACTAATCGGAAGACATCTACTTAGGATGCTAGTTGAATGTCTAGTCACTGCTACTGAGTCACTTGACGAGACCAGATTACTCATACCAAACTCTTCCATATCACAAATTTATCGCCAACCCTGTTTCTAGGACAACCGTCGAAAAATGCATTTCTTACATGTCTCGAAAGCTTTGAATTGAACAGATAAAAATGTGATCAATGCATTTGGAATATCATGCATCATTAATTTCTTTAGAATTCCACCATTATCTGGTGTGTCAGTAGTGTTATAAAGCTTGATTAGTTAGGTTGTGAGCAGATTGGAGACTGATACGGCTAACTCACGATTCCAGCTTAATTCAACTTTTGTTTTGGTTTCTTTTTTTTTCTCACCAAGTTGATTTTTTTGTCTATTTTTATTGGAGGTGAAAAATAGAATAAGGAATTAGAGTTTGATGAAACATTGACATTTCAGAGGAAAGTAAATTTGAATTTTTAGTGTACAGACTAAAGAGACACCTAACAAGACCTCTAGGCCTAGTAATGATGTTGCTGATAAGCTCTCTTTGGCAGGACAAACTTATTGATTTTATATAGTAGTGGCCAAATGTCCCATCATTTTCTGTCTCCATTTTCACTTACCCCACTTGTCATCATTTTATTTATTTGTTTATAATCATATAATTACCATGGGTGGGAGGAGGGAAGTGGATTGTGTTTTCTTTGTCTTGTACCAAAATTAGTGAAACATTGTGTGAATTTCTTTACACCAGCACAATAACTAAACATTTTCTGTTTATGTTGCTGATGACACATGTTAATCTTACTATAATCTGATGTAGATTTGTTTATTTTACAGATAGTGATATCCAGGATGTAGCCCATACCCTTGTCTCTCTCAAGAGTTTTAGCAGCGGAAGTAAGTACACCCATTAACTTAGGCTAATATGTCCTCACCTGATATGTCTAATCTGTAATGTGAAATTAAAATGCAATATGAATCTGAGGCATTAAACACAAAGATATTAAGTAAAAATATCACGTAGATCATAGAAATTATCCTCACACAGTGGTGATTAGAGAATATCGTAGATACCAAACAGATAAAAAAAAATCCCACACATGGATTATAGGGACTGTATAAAGTCAGACCACTAAAACAGCATCTTTATTATCCCAGCTGTATTGTATCCTGTGTTTATCGGAATAAGACACACATTCTGTTCAAGTTCAATGAAGATATCAGAACAGGTCTTTCTTTCTAAAGAAGATGTAAAAATAAAGAAATAATGTTGATTCTGTTTTTTTTCTCCACCAGATTCATCAGCTAAATCTTCAGATGGTGAATATTCACCGCCCGAGCACCAAAGATTGCGACTCAAGCGGAAGCAGAGGTAAGGGGATGATTGATAAAAGGTCACATGTCTGCACCATTGTGTAAAAGTCATTTGGAAATTCAGATGAATTGTCATATCAGTTAGATGAAGTAGTGTGACCCAACAATACATAGATTGAAAATGTGTTTACTGTTTGAGGCTTTCCTAATATAATTAAGCGAAAATATGGAGTTACTAATTTAATTTGTTGTTATAATATTTTCACAAACTTTCACGTAATTGACATTGTAAACAATTTGATACTATTAGTTTGCCTATAATTCATTAAACATTTACAGCAATTTGGAAAGTAGTTATACTCTTGTTAGTCCAAATAGAAGCATGTGAGTGGTTTTATTGCGGGAGGAAACTGGAGTACCAGACCATTTATATTTGCCTTTGATGTTCATTCTTAACATGACAAAATTATGTTGACAGGCAACTAACTCCGAGTTACCACAAGCGACGGAATATGGGAGATGTGATCTGTACTCTTGTACCTAGTGAGGACCATACATACAGTGTCACAAATGTGCTGAAGGCACCCCCATCCCCTGGATCCTCTATAGATGAGGAATATGATTTTGGCGATGAGGATGAAGAAGAGGAGTTTAGTGAATACAGCTACAACAGTGACGAGTGGGAAAGTGCCGATGAGGTTGATGGCCCTCTTCCTGTTGGCAACACCACACGATACATACCCCACAAAAATACGCCAGAGGAGGAGGCTGAAGAACAGAAGAAGATAGTGGAGGGTGCAGATGCACTGCTCAACCTAGCAGGAATTAAAACTAATGGACCTTCCTCACCTGTAGTGAATAGTAAATCAGCCAAACGCAACACGCCAAGCTCCCTAGCAAGGTAGATCAACCAATAGCATTGACAAGTAATGATAATTGTTGTGCTAAGAGACGATGCCAAATGAGATTCGCCCTGAACCTTGTGAAGTACTACGGGTGTAGACATTGGACGTTGTGGTGGGCAGCGAATATATTTTGTACGTGGACCAGTAGGAGACAACTAAGCGAAGCTGGACTTTGTCTTCCTCTTTATCATGTGATGGACCTATTTTTTGTTGGAGCTCCAGTGGAGGCTTCTGGTGTTCTTATCACCTAGTGATGGGACTTGTTTTACTTTGTACAGAGAGCTCCAGTAGAAATTCCTTGTAAACTTACCACTGCAGGCTTGTATAACTTCAGTACAGGACTATTACCCTAACTCTGTTTTACCACTTTATAAACAAACATTTTTCAGAATGACTTGTGAAAGTATAGCTTGGTAACATGATCAGATATGAAGTACCAGACAAGAGACAGGTCGGTCAGTTTGTTTTAGTTTGTAAGATTTCAGGTGCTATGTATTCTATAAATTCTTTGCATTCACCTTGTTCATGAGACGACGCTTATAAACAGTTCTGATTTACATATGAAATGTGCAATTACAGAATATCATTGAATCAAATTATATACCAAACTGTGTTCCATCTCTTCCAAAATATTTATGATGTTCTGTTTTGTTAGTCCTTGAAAATAAGGGTGATTTGATATGGATGAGGTATGATTTTTTTTGTAATTATTGCTTAAGAGATGCTTTTTCGGTAATGAAACATCTTGATTGTTAGTAAAAAAGTTAAGAAATTTCAGATTGGTGGCTACAGTGAGTCATTGACGTACCAAATAGCTAATAGTTCTCATGAGTTAGTGAGATGGGTACAATATATATTTTGGTGCTAATAAATGCAATATTGTTAATATTGATATCATTGTTCAATCAAATTTTGGTCTGGTCATGTCAGAATCATCAACATTTTTTGACTTGTAACAGTTTAGACCATAACAATTCAATCATTTCATTACATCTGATGTCAAAACTTTACCGCAATAAACACATGACTTGTTAAAAAAAATCTGTCGGATTTATCCGTGAGGGTTTATTCAGCTTCATTGGATTATTTCTCAAGCTGGACCATTGTTGTCGAGGTCGAAACTTTTTTCACATACCATGTTAAACAAATGTTACAATTCTTTTAATACCTATGTGTTCAAAATGTATGACTTTACAAGATGGATATTATTACATTTTTTGTGGCTTGTGAAGTAACTGATTGTTATTGTTTGTTAATGTATGTATATGCCATACAATTAGTTATATGAGATCGTTACAAGTTTTAGGGATCTCGTGCCAATATGTTGTCCTTATTATAAGGTACTTGTTAAACTTACAGGACAGCTTGGTAGTGTTATCTTATTTGCTTATTGATCGATAGTACAGTAGTAAACTAAATAAAAAAAAAAGTTTTATATCTCAACAATCTTTGATCACTGGTTTAATTCTTATTTGAAGTGCAGTTATCACATTAAAAACCAAGTTAATTAATGCTAAGAATTCAACGTAACGTTTTTGAAATAGCATTCATGAGCAGATCCAACTTGATATTAGAAGTTCCATGAAAATTGTCTCCCCTTAATTTGATAATTTTGGAATAGCATTTCATCATTTTACACTTTAAAAGACAAAGTTTTTGTTAATGTTGCAATGGTGGCGCCGTTAGGATGTTGTTCATGTTTGGTCCCTGTAATCACTGATGTCACAGTGGACAAACATGTACAACTTATTTGTTATATATCTTGTTATTTTGTGCATATACATTGTTGCAGTTTTTAATATCAATTAAGTAGCTGTGTACAGTTAGGTAATATATGAAATACTCCTAATATTTAGTGCTTAGTAAGGATGAGCAAGCCATAATGATGATAGCACAGGTATATTTTTTATCAAATGCTATGTTATCAATTTATATATTAGCAATTTATTTACCAATATGTAAAAGTTTTTTTTATGTAAATATTTGCAGAATTCTACTTGAGTGGAAAAAGAGTATGTTTTCAGTCTAAAATAACAATAGGAGACACAGAATTGATTAAAAATGTTCTCATTACAAATTGCTCATTTCAGGTATTTGATATTTCATTTTGGATCTTAAGTTATTTTACAATTGTGTAAAATAAATTGAGACAAAGTTATAAATTAAAATATACTTTATTATTGGTATTTTATAAAATCTTTACAATATGTCAGTACACTTAAATTTTGCTTATCACTCTTTGAGGTTAGAAAAAGATCATATTTAAAATTTGTTTCTGAAAAATGTTTATCTGGAAGAACAAAATGTATTAACTGCTTGATTTTGGGGAAATGTCACACCGTCATGTTTTTTTTTAGAAAAAACAACATTTCTTATTACTAATGTAATGACAATTTTTATTATCTTTTATAATCTGCCATATAAATTTTAATCAGATCATGAAAGTTTTGTTCAGAAGTAATTTGTAAGTTTTCAATTGTAACCCTTGGAGCTTTCCTTGATGTCAGGGAGACAGTGGTTCTTTATAACATGTTTGTAGGTCACTAAGTAAGTACACGTTACAACATGAGTAAGGGGACCTATATCAGTGGAAGTCTGTGATACATCGTTTGTTAGTCTGGTTCTAGACGCTGGAAAGCTTTACACAAATCTACACATTCTCAATGCAGCACAGAATAACTTTATATGAATCAGGACCTGTTTTTTTTCAACTCCAGATAACTTCATAAAAGTCTAGCTCTTCTCCCTAACACTAGTGAACTTAATATAAAGCTACTGATTTTGTCTTGAACACTGGTAAACTTAAGATATAGATACTGATTTTGTCCTGGACATCAGTAAATTTAAGATTAAGCTTCTTATTTTGTCTTGAAGACTGTAAATTTCCTGTGAATATACTGGTTCCTTATTCCAGTCCATGGTGAAATAAATGTAAAATCTGGACTCATGGTCCTTACCATGGGTTGGATTTACTGAAACTTTTTGTCAGTCACACCAGTTAACTTTATATAAACCTAAACCTCGCATCAGTTAAACCTGTTAACTTTATATAAACCTAAATCTGTTATCAGTTACACCAGTTAACTTAATATAAACTTAAATCTCTTATTGGTCACACCCGTTAACTTTATAAAGCCCTAAACCTCTGATCAGTAACACCTCTTAACGTGGTTGAAATCTAAATCACAATAAGTAACACAACATTATCAGGACTCTTGTCAAAATGCTGGTTGAGTTTTTTTTTTTTTTTTTTTTTTAAAACAAGGCTTATCTTAAAGTTACAATTTATTGAAGCTTTTGGAACAGATATTTTTCATAAGAGATAAGACATCAACAGTTATTTTGAATGTTTTCTTTTCAAATATTAAAAGTGACTTTCAGGGAGGGATTTATAAGATAAATCAGATTAGTTTACCGTATTACCCCACACAGTAATCCATTGAAGGCAGAATTCCAGAAATATTTTAATTTTGTGTGCCTCTCCTATGTGAGACATATCATAGGCTATACTTGTACAACACATACTCTTTATTTTTGTTATGTAACAAAAGTATGAGGGAAAATATGAAATATGATTTTGTATAATGTTCAGCTTAAAAAAGTTATTATTATTTTGGATGAACATGTGTCTTCCACAACGTCAAAATGCCAGGAACTTGTCAAAATAAGAGCTACATGCTTTAATGTGTCCTGGCCACTTTGATGGTATTCTAGAACTTTGTGCTCAATATTTTGTGTTAAAAATGTACAGCCTCTGTTTTACAAGCTTTATTGTGTTCACAATGGTCCCTAGTCAGGAAACTGGAGTTTTGTTGTAACAGTTTAAAGCCTTAATTCCAGTACTGTTATGTTCTGCCAGGCAGGTAGTCATATTTGTGTACCATAACTTTCTACTTCGGCAGTAGTTTAAATCTAAGATTAGAAATACATAGTAAATGTCGAAACATTTCAGTGATTATTGAGTATTGTTAAAGTGATTGCCTATAAATTTTTTTCTACAATTTCTTTTTTATGAAGAGAGATAAAAGTGAAATTGGCAAATGTTGTAGATGTATGAGATATTGCAAAATGAAGAAAATTTATGACTGATGAAGCAGTGACATCTGCCAACATCTTTTACCAATGTAGACAGCCCTATAGGAGGGCTTGTGGTAAACAGTTAAAAAGTCCTATGCAATACTGTTTTGGTCAGATTTCTTTGATAGTATTTTTCAATCAAAAAATGTGCAATACAACTATTAACATAGACTGTTGAAGTGAAACACATAGTTTTTCGAGTCATGACAATTTGAGTACTTCATGCAGCAAACAGGTGCAATAGGACAATGTTGGCATTCTTCATTTGATAAAATCATGTATGAAAACATTGAATCATTCATGTCAAAAATCATTTGTCAATCTTCATCCTACATGGTTAAGGTGTATAGTTTGTACATACAATGAAGACTAGTTCTTAATAAACAAATCAATACAGAAGTATTTTGTTTGTCTTAATGTTCCCCCATCCATTTTGTCTGTCTTCCTGTTCCTCTATCCATTTTACATAGCCATTTTGTCTGTCTTACCATTCCACTATCCATTGTACACAGCCATTTTGTCCGTCTCCATGTGCCCCTTTCCATTTTGTCTGTCTTTCTGTTCCTCTATCCATTTTACATAGCCATTTTGTCTGTCTTACCATTCCACTATCCATTGTACACAGCCATTTTGTCTGTCTCCATGTGCCCCTTTCCATTTTGTCCGTCTTTCTGTTCCCCTATTAATTTTACACAGCCATTTTGTCTCTTTCTGTTCCTCTATCCATTTTACATAGCCATTTTGTCTGTCTTTAGGTGCCCCTATCCATTTTACATAGCCATTTTGTCTGTCTTTAGGTGCCCCTATCCATTTTACATAGCCATTTCGTCTGTCTTTAGGTGCCCCTATCCATTTTACATAGCCATTTTGTCTGTCTTTAGGTGCCCCTATCCATTTTACATAGCCATTTTGTCTGTCTTTAGGTGCCCCTATCCATTTTGTCTCTCTTTAGGTGCCCCTATCCATTTACCTAAGCCATTCTGTGTGTCACTACTGTCCATTTATCAATTACACTATGATTTTATCTTTCTTCCTGTGTTGCTTTTCATTTATGCTTCTGAAATTTCTTGCAGACAACCTCCACTTTAGAATCTAACACTTTTAAGTTCACCATGATCAGATGGCACTCCCATACAATTCTTATTTTTGGCATTGGATGGAGGTGTGTTGGTACATCCAATGGTGCTCTTGTTTGTACATCTCTTGAAAGAATTTTGAGAACAAAAACCTGTTGTTAAAATTGGAAAAAATTGAATATGACAACCAAATAACTGATTTGTTTTATACCGTTTGTATAAAGTGGACAATGGAAGCCGAAACTTCTATGATTTGTATTTAACTCTCCTTTACAAAACTAGTCTGTAGTGAATTTAGATCCCCTGAAGTTAAAGTTAAAAATGCCCGTAGATTTTAATATATCTCATAAAAAACAATTGGTTTTACTTACATGAATAATTTGAAATATTCAAAATTGTGATAAATATGCCCTGATATTAACAATGTTTGGTAATGTACAAAAATAGAAGTAGATAGGACAGATCACTTCACTAGTTTCGACAAGTGGGAATTCCCCTTCAGCATACTGTCATCCTTGAGAAGGAAAGGTCAACAGTCAAGTCCCAGAGGGATATATTTCTCATCATTCTTTACTATTACATGTTTGGTGTCATTGACCACTTAAAGGGAAGAATATATCAAAGATCGAGATATCGAACATGGGTTGTTGTTGTCTTCAGGGTCAAAGACTTTCTGAAGTAGTGTAAAAGTTGAGAGTACAGATCATCTTACTAGTCTACCAGTGGGAGTTGACCTTAAGCCTTGTGGTAGCTGTCCATTTTGACAACAAAAGGTCACTAATGTGAGCTCCAGTAGAGGCAGGGCATTTAACATTAATTTTTACCCTATGACATAATAATGTATGTTCATAAAGAACTGTCTGAGCACTACATCTGACCGAATCTAAAGTTCTTTTAAACATACATTTGTGTCACAGGGTGGATTAATGGTAGAATTATTTAGGGGATATTTCATTTACAAACATGTGGCTTCTTTGAAAAGCTGGAGAACAATAAGACACATTTGTTAGTGAAATATTCCCTATAATCGTTTTGGTTTTGTCTGACCTTCATCTGATTGTTATAAGTACCACTGATATACCCGTGGCTTTAATTGGTTTCACCTCCTTAAGTACACCATGCCAGACACAGAAATCTGGATCAGCCTAACCAAGCATGAAGATGGCTCATCAGTCATATAAATACAGGTCAATGGTATTGCCCGGTTGGTATGCACAAACCATTTTAATCTGGTCAAGTCAAGTGAATCAGAGGGATTATCTCCCTTTGTTTGTGTTCTCTCTCTAAACCTTGTGGTAAGTATGTTAGTATAGGAATGTTATAAATATGATCTGTCACAATCAGTTGATACTTAGTGGAGCAATCATGTAGTAAGCATCAGAACAGCATGAGTTACGAGTTATAGGTATTGTTCGGTGGAAACAAATTTGAGAAAAATAGTAGCCTTTGGGCCATACATACTCGCCCAGCTCACTCACCTGTTCTAAAGGATTGGTGAACGAACAATATCCTTCCTCATTATGTCACCCATCAACAACCATTAAATGACATTATGTGTGAAGGTGGAGTTCTATATTTTTGTTCTCCTGAATCAAGGGCCAAGTCCCCTGGGGTGGGGCAATACTATTGGTGGAATATTATGGTCTCTTAGTGCCCAGTAAATGTATAATATTCTGGAAATTATCAGATGAGGACTTCCATAATGTAAAACCTTGGCCAGCTTGTCCTAAGGGACAGCACCATACTCCATGTCTTATCCTTGCTCCATTATCATACCCAGTAATTTACATATTAAATTTACCTGATTATAGAATGGAGATCTCAACTGTTAACACATGATCCCAGCAGCCGTCCAGCTGTATTCTGATTATCACTATATATAGTACTGTCAGAATCAGACAGAGGAAAGTTATCCTGGTAGATTGTTATAACTGTCAACAATCGTTCATTGATGAAGTCTTTGTGAGAAAATTATCTTAGACACCGGTTAAGCTAAATGGGCATCTGTCACCTCTGATCTTTCCAATTCTGAGATCTTAGATATCAAAGCCAGTGGTGTTAGTAGAATTATTCATAGGTGTCTATTACAAATTCTAATATCATAGTGCTCATTGTGACTGGCACTAGTAGCATAATTCACAGGCTTTCAATTACAAATTCTGTTGTCTTAGTTCTGGTATAGTGACTGGTATTTGTAGCATAATCCACGCACTTCTTGTATTTGTCAAGATATTTATTTAAAATTTATCTCCAGGCTTCTTGGTTTCAAAAAAATTCACTTATATGTGGTCTTGAAAGTGCAGTGGACATCCTTAAGTATAAGCTTCAAAGAATTCAGCATGCTACTTTGCATTGATCATAACCTGGGTATCTTAGGTTTTTCAAAAATTGAGTAATATACAGTAGCTGCAATAAATTTCCTATTTACATTGACTTTCACCTTTGACCTTCACACTGGAAAGCAACACCAATCAATGGAAAGAAGCATTTATCATATGCAAGTTAGAGTTTGATGGGCTTACTTCAAAATAACCCTAGTAGCTTATAAACTGCATTTTTTTTACAGATATTTTAATATGACACGCTAATGTGCGTCATTGAAAATATCTGTAAAAAAAAATGCAGTTTACAAACCAGTAAACAACAAAAAATTTAAATTATTTCTTAAATAAACTAAGAAAAGAGACAACTTCTGAAGGATCTCTAAATCTTCAATAAATTCAGCATTTAATATAGTCATATCCATGTTGAGACAACTTTCACTAATGAATTTGTATGTGGTCCTATCAGGTAAATGAAATTCTGACCTGTACCACTTCAAAGATGGCTATCATGGCTGCTACTTAAAAATCTTATTGCTTCTCCTGAAAGAAAAGTAATCGCGACCAGATTTCTATCAATTAGTCATGTTAAGTCTCAGGTACTTGATATGCAAATTAGCACTATACTGCAATCAAAATGGCAGCCATCTTGTTTCATATAACAAGTGCTGCTTTTTCTATCGGCTATCACATCTCTGGCCTCTTGCTTGAAAAGCTTGGTTATTGCTACTTTTCTTGAGTGGAAAGTTGTATCAATACAGCACTTTCAACAATTGATTGTGGATGGTCAGAAAATAGTTCCAACATTAAGGATAGCAGCTCTGTCATCTTAATAATTCAAATATTTTTAATGAGTGAGGATAACAAGTTTGTGATATTTTTGAGTCATATTTCACCAATCAGATTTTAGCAACTGCAGTGAAAATATCCATTTTCTCAAGATGCATTGCAGACTTCATAAACGAAAACTCTGGTACAGATAGCCCTATAAAGTATACAGTCATTTCTTGATCCTCATCAATCTGCATTTAATGAATGTTTTAATTGGTGTATTTACTAATTTAATGTTAAAATATTACACAAACAAGACTTGCGACTTTGACGTAAAACTGTATTATATGGCAGAGCGCCCATATATTTATAGACATAGCTGGAATATTGAAACCGGCATCAATGAAAGGTGTGGAAAATCTTGTGAGGTTAAAACTTGTTCAAAATATTAGTTTCCACCCACTCAATCTAGAAATATCCTCTATACATTTACTTCTCCTACAGATAAAATTTTATTTAGCTCGCTTACTCTCTAGACTATGTGAGCTTGATTAAAAAATACAACTTGTAGTTTGACTAAGTTCATCTAGCCTTTCTAATCTTTAACAATTACAAACAAGGATTTCTTCAAATTGTTTTTTATCTCTCCTAAACACCATGAAATATCCATTATTCATGGATCTTTTGGCAGATCTGTAATACAAAGTATTTGTGCCGATTTTCATGTTCCCAGAAAATTTTCGGTGGACATATGGTTGCCGCCTTGTCCGTCCATCCTTTCTTGTCCAGAGCATAACTTTGCCCATAATTAAGCAAGGATCATGAAACTTACAGAGTTACTGCCTGTTGTTAAAAATTTGTGTCTGGAGCATAACTTCACTTGCATTAAAACTAGGCTCATGAAACTTCAAGTATACAACTGTATACCAAATTCAGGGCCTGTAGCCCCTCACTTACAGATTTATTGTCTTTGTTAAAATTTTGTGTCCAATAAACATACTTTTCATTTATTTGGGCAAAATGACAATATTGTTATCATTGATAATAACTAAACACCGTTGAACTAGACAGTAGATCAGACACTGGTACCAAGGCAAAGTTTACATGCACTCCTTCATGAAGAACAGCACTGAAGGCTGAAAATAAAGCACACAGACAATTAATATATATTTACATATCAAGACCAAGACAGGTGTGCACAATTTCATACCAAATTAAAACCAACCTGTGTATGTCGTTATACACTAGGTGATCAGTTATATTAGTGTAGGAATCAAATAATTACAATTCACTAGTTATAACATACAACCTATTTACTGATCTGCTGCTGGAATGTTACACTCCTTTCATATTGACTCAAACCCTCATTAAAAGAAAATTTACTTAAAAAATCTATTTCTACTGCAGAAGACTTTTCTTTCTTTTTTAACTGAATTCATGTACATGACTTGATTTTGAAGTGTGAACAATGCAATTCATGAGTACTCAATTTTCTTGACCTAAGATTAACATACTTTTGGTACAATATTTCTATAATCATGTATCTCACTAGACAGTTTGAATTTTTCAATCCATTGCATAACTTGTTACTGTGATGACCTGTGGAATGTGACTTGTTACTGTGATGACCTGTGGAATGTGACTCACCCTGACAGTCCAGAATAACAGTACTGTGATGACCTGTGGAATGTGACTCACCCTGACAGTCCAGAATAACAGTACTGTGATGACCTGTAGAATGTGACTTACCCTGACAGTCCAGAATAACAGTACTGTGATGACCTGTGGAATGTGACTCTTCCTGACAGTTCAGAATAACAGTACTGTGATGACCTGTAGAATGTGACTTACCCTGACACAGTTCTGAATAACAGTACTGTGATGACCTGTAGAATGTGACTTACCCTGACACAGTTCAGAATAACAGTACTGTGATGACCTGTATAATATGACTTACCCTGACAGTTCAGAATAACAGTACTGTGATGACCTGTAGAATGTGACTTACCCTGACAGAGTTCAGAATAATGGTACTGTGATGCCCTGTAGAATATCCTCAGTGTTGGCACACAGCCTTCTGATGGATGCAGTGATGATGTCACTGCTTGGTAGCACTTACACATGCAGCTTACAGCATTTTCCATATTATCTGGCAGAGATTGGTCTTTCATGTCTGAAACATCATAGATTACACTGTTAAAACCTCCTAAGTTTAAAATGTCAAAAACAGCAGATTACACTGTTAAAAAATAGTAGATTACACTGTCAAAAAACTCATACATTACACTGTCAAAAAACTCTTAAGATTACACTGACAAAAATCTCATAAGATTACACTGTCAAAAACCTCATAAGATTACACTGTCAAAAAACTCATAAGATTACACTGTCAAAAACCTCATAAGATTACACTGTCAAAAAACTCATAAGATTACACTGTCAAAAACCTCATAAGATTACACTGTCAAAACCATCATACATTTCCCAGTCAAGACCATACATTACCCTGTCAAAACCATAGTTAAATTACATTTCAAAAGCATCATATTGCACTGTAGAATTTTTTTTACACTGTCAAAAAACTCATAAGATTCCACATCATAAGATTACACTGTCAAAACCATCATGTCAAGACCATACATTTCTGTCAAAACCATAGTTAAATTACATTTCAAAAGCATCATATTGCACTGTAGAATTTTTTTTACAGTACTCACATTATTTGTCTGAATTTCTAGGTAGAATGTGAGGGGACGATTCATTCTAAATAGTGATATCGACTGATGTTACCTCCCTTTGTCAACCATGATACTGTTGGTGACTGGAATCCCATCAATTTGTTTCATTTGATTGCTAAATCAAACTGATGGGGTTGTTAACTATTGACTGGTAACTTGGTAAGGTGACCACAAAGGGGATTAAAATTTTATACCAGAATAATGGGACATCTTATTTTCCCACGAGGATCTCAATATTTACCTTGGATTGGCGTATTAGTAACATAGTCAATCAGCAGGTGAACATTGATAGAGAACACTAATTTCAAAATAATTTAGTAACACTTCAAGGTGTAAGTGGTGTTTCTGTAATCCATTCAGATTGACAAAGAGATGATGCTGGTAAAATCTAAAGCTAGGACGTCATGATCATCCATGCAAATTTCTTTTAATAAAGTTGTCTAGAATATTATATATTCTACACTGAAATGTTAAGCATGTAATTCCTTGCAAAACTTTACATTACTATCACATTGTTGCCAAAGTCAAAGTATGTATATATTTAAATGCACAGCTGTACGAAGCATGCTGATTTTTCAAATGCTAAATTCAACAGTCAGGAAAGGCATTCACTTGTCAGATTATGAAGGTCTTTAGGAAATAGAGTGATAGTAAGTGGTCTTACAAAATGGTTTGAGTCTGTTTTTTTCTGATTGTTACTAGGTGATCATGAAAACATAAAGTCAGTAAATCTGCTGCATACTTTGAGTTTTCTGAATGTCAGCTGGCTTTGAGAGGGGTCCCAGGTAAGTACAAGACAGGTGTTAAAATAGCAAACATAAGAAGTGAGACAGAAATGATATGAGCCGGATAAGATTAACTAACTTTACATCTGCAAACCCTCAGATCACCAAAATGAACAAATATTGTTAGAGTTTGTATATTCAATTCCAGTCGTGTCTTTTAACTGTGACATTTGTGTTTTCACTATGAGCCAGCTGTATTTACACTGCAAGATGGTTGTGTTTTTACTGCAAGACAGTTGTGTGTTTACTGCAAAAGAGACTAAGGAGAAAACTGCATTTTTACTGCAGGACAGCTGTATTTTATTGCTAAGTTACCTGTGTATCCTGTACAAGAGAATCCTGGGATATCCCCACAGGAAGTTACACACCTAGCAGTACTGATGTAGTCCCCATATTTACAGTTCTCTGTCTTTTCTACAAAGTAAATTGTAAAAATGTAGTAAGAATATGATATACCTACATATATTTACTCTCCACTGTTCTCGTTAAATCAAATATATATTTCCAGTCCTCAAATTATCTGGAAATTCTTCTTCCTATGAATAGCTACTATATTGGCCAGCAGTACAATATTTTCTCCTAAAGCTCTAAATTTTCAAGAATTCTACGTGTAAATTTCAAATTTATTTAAACATCATTTGAAAAGTGTGTTGAAATGTGATTGATTTCATTAATGAGACTGAGAAGCTCTCACCTTTGAGCTCTGTCCCAGGAGTGAAAGCAGTGACTTGCCACTCAACCTTGGCATTGCGTGGTAAGTAGGGAATGACTACAAACATGACAGCCGGACTGGACACATCATCTCCATGGTCAACAATGTCATCACACTGGAAATGTAGGCAATGTGCAATAAATCATTAGGACTTAATAGTGACCATGGCCTCTGACCTTGTAACCTTTAACTCTAAATTCTTATATAATTACATGTACTCTACATCAATTCATATCACTCAATTTATTTCCAGAAATAAATCTGTCTTTTGATTGTATTTATCAATACATGATTTCACAGCTGAAAGGATGCTTATCTGGATGTATAGTTGAGGAAAATTCAAATTCGTGAATTCATACAACATTAAGTAACCCATAGAAAACAGTTAACCTGAAGCCCACCTTGTGACAAGTCTCTAGAGCTCTGGTCCATTCCTGCTTGGCTGCATCCATGTAACTCTGTGCAGTGATATAACAGACCACAGCAACCACATCCCTCAGGTCACATCCTAAACTCTGGGCACTCAAGACACGTCCAACATGGTGCAAGGACAAGCGACTCTCAAAAACAATACCTCCCTGCACAATTTTCAATGACCCTGGTACCATAGCAATCTGGCCTGCAACAAAGATTCGGTTGTCGACCTGTTGTGAAGAAAATTGTCAGAGTTTAAAGCATGAAGTATAACATAGTAATATTGAATGATCCATACTAATCTATAGTAACTTACAGTGACAGCCTGACTGTAGGATCCTATGTTAGAACTTACAGTGACAGCCTGACTGTAGGATGTTATGTTAGAACTTACAGTAACAGCCTGACTGTAGGATCCTATGTTAGAACTTACAGTGACAGCCTGACTGTAGGATGTTATGTTAGAACTTACAGTGACAGCCTGACTGTAGGATGTTATGTTAGAACTTACAGTGACAGCCTGACTGTAGGATCCTATGTTAGAACTTACAGTGACAGCCTGACTGTAGGGTCCTATGTTAGAACTTACATTGACAGACTGACTGTAGGGTCCTATGTTGATCTTACAGTGACAGACTGACTGTAGGGTCCTATGTTAGAACTTACAGTGACAGCCTGACTATAGGGTCCTATGTCAGAACTTACATTGACAGACTGACTGTAGGGTCCTATGTTGATCTTACAGAGTCCTATGTTAGAACTTACAGTGACAGCCTGATACAGTGACAGCCTGACTGTAGGATGTTATGTTAGAACTTACAGTGACAGCCTGACTGTAGGATGTTATGTTAGAACTTACAGTGACAGCCTGACTGTAGGGTGCTATGTTAGAACTTACAGTGACAGCCTGACTGTAGGGTCCTATGTTAGCAGGTGCCCAGTGTGAGATGCCCTGGACATGCATGGTATTGCGATCCGATGACTTACACCCATAACAGTCAAGTAGTAAGGCAACATTCTTGGGAAGTGAAGCTTGAACACAAACTCTGGAAACAAAAAATGTTCTCAGTTACAAATTCTAAACATCAAATGTTTCTTCCAAAACATTATCTCTTTTTGGGAATTGACAGAAGAAGAATATAAGTTTACATCACTTTTTCAATATACAGCATATTGAGTTATTTTAAGAGATGACCTCAGGTCACCATCTAACCTACTGTTTCGTGTTAGGGAAAGTGACCGGGGGTCATTCTCTAACCTACAGTTCAGAGTGAGGGAAGGTGAACTGGGGTCATCCTCTAACCTTCTGTACAGGATGAGGGCAGGTAACATTGGGTCATTCTCTAACCTTCTGTACAGGATGAGGGCAGGTAACATTGGGTCATCCTCTAACCTTCTGTTCAGGATGAGGGCAGGTAACATTGGGTCATTCTCTTTTCCAATTGAGGGGACCACATTTGTCATTATCTCAGATATGGAAGAGATAGTGAGAGCAAAAATAATTGTAACTGGAACCTAACTGCCTATTACAATAGGAAGCATTCCATTCACTATAAGAGTCACACAAACTTATTTGTCTTGATATTATGCTTTAAACATCTAGAAACTACTATATAAAGATATCTGAGGATGATCATGATCACAATGATGGCTACATCAATCTGCTGACTGACAATTTACCTGACTGGTGGGTTTAGCTCAAAGTATGATCTGTAAACAGAGTTGACTTTGGCAAAGTCCTCCATTCTCTGCACATACAGACAAACCAAAGCCAATTTAGACATATCCCAACCTTCACCAAGACTAGACACAGCAGCTAAAAGTAAATGTAGATAAAAGTCTTATTTACATACTGGTATACATATATATATTATATCGGTAAATACAGATAATTAAACTAGAGAAAGTGAAAAATGATTACAATAGAGCATAACCTTTCATCCAAAAACCTAAAACATGCCTTATACAGCATACAGGTGACTTCAGGTATACATACGGTCAGCATTTATTGCAAAACAAGATATCCACTGTCTTTCGTATCCTCACAACACATCAGTTAAGCTTACAACTAAAGAGAGGATGCCTAAAGTAAATGCTGTAAATCTGACCTTTGACCTTGTCCATCGCTGTCCTAGTAGCTTGTTGTATATCTGTGTCACATTTGGCAGTCACACCTGCCACCCACAAGTTGTTACCCGTTGTCTTAATAGAAAGCTGCCACTCATCTGAAATGTTCAATATATATGTCATAAAAAGAAAATCTCAAAACCAACAGAGTTTCAAATTTTAAAGCATTTCACTATTACAAAATTATGTTATAGTTAAAGATGACTGCAGTGCACGTGAATTTTCAAATAAAACCTAAATGGGTAATTTAAATATTACTTGATTAAACGTTATGTATAATTAAAAAAAGTAAAATGAATTATGAAAAATCCTGACAATTTTCTCACCTGGTAGAATATCATTGCTACAGATGTGAGTGTTAAGCCTATTGTCCTCTGGTATATCCAGTAACATGTCGTCCTTGCCCTCCAGTTCCTGTAGCATGTCCTGGTATACATCCCCACTTGTCTTAAATTGCAAACCTGCAACCCTCTGATACTGGCTCATTTCAATATCCTAGGTAACAAGTAACATTTTGTATTACCTGGTACATGTGTTGATGTACTGTAAATGTACTTAATTTGATGCAATGTATTGCCTGGTACATGTGTTGATGAACTGTAAATGTACTTAATTTGATGCAATGTATTGCCTGGTACATGTGTTGATGAACTGTAAATGTACTTAATTTGATGCAATCAGATTTATTTTTTGGTAAATTAGAGCAATGACATATTCACGCATCCTCACTGATTATCTTATAAACATTAAATAGAACCTGTAGTTAGTGCAATCATATCTATAATATGTCATTCACTTCACCATTGATTATCCAACCATCCTTTCTTTTTACTTATATACATAAGTATACATTGAACTTGTGATTTCAATATTAATGGTATAAATAAAAAAAGCAACAGGTTACCAGGTAATTCAATGTATTAAAGGCATTATACATGAATCACATGACTCAGTAAAAACATACATGTTTCTATGATCATATGACCCAATAAATATACATATATATCTATAATTACATGACCCAGTAATGATACACATGTATCACTAATCATATGGTGTAATAAACACCCACACGTCTTGCTGATGAAATGAAAGAGAATATCTTTCTACATTTGAGTACTGACTGTCTCTTTGTCCTCCAGGTGTGCAGTCTTCAAATTAAGGTATCCCACAGGTGAAAATGCATCATCAGAGTGGATCACCAATTCTTTATCATCCCTGTAAACATGTATTTCCAATAAAACTGAGTTATGTTAAGCTACACATATCCTTCTTTGGTAATTTTGATGTAATTCTTATTGCAATGTCATAGAGTAAAGCTGAAGATCAATTTGAATATCAGTCAGATTTTGATAAATGTTGTCATATATCTACATATCAATATACATACATCAATCATACATACATCAACATGTGAACATACATCAACATGTGAACACATATCTACATGTGAACATGCATTAACATTTTAACATATATCTACATGTGAACATACATCAACATGTGAACACATATCTATAGGTGAAAATACATCAACATGTGAACACATATCTATAGGTGAAAATACATCAACATGAGAACACATATCTACATGTGAACATACATCAACATGTGAACATACATCTATAGGTGAACATATATCGACATGTGAACATACATTAACATGTGAACATATATCTACATGTGAACATACATCTATAGATGAACATACATCAACATGTGAACATACATCTACATGTGAACGTACATCTACATGTGAACATACATCAACATGTGAACATACATCTATAGGTGAACATAAATCAACATGTGAACATACATCTACATGTGAACATACATCAACATGTGAACACATTTCTACATGTGAACATACATTAACATGTGAACATACATCAACATGTGAACACATATACATGAGAAAATACATCAACATGTGAACATACATCTACATGTGAACATACATCTACATGTGAACATACATCAACATGTGAACATACATCTACATGTGAACATACATCTACATGTGAACATACATCAACATGTGAACATACATTAACATGTGAACATACATCTATAGATGAACATACATCAACATGTGAACATACATCTACATGTGAACGTACATCTACATGTGAACATACATCAACATGTGAACATACATCTATAGGTGAACATAAATCAACATGTGAACATACATCTACATGTGAACATACATCAACATGTGAACACATTTCTACATGTGAACATACATTAACATGTGAACATACATCAACATGTGAACACATATCTACATGAGAAAATACATCAACATGTGAACATACATCTACATGTGAACATACATCTACATGTGAACATACATCAACATGTGAACATACATCTACATGTGAACATACATCTACATGTGAACATACATCAACATGTGAACATACATTAACATGTGAACATACATCAACATGTGAAGTCATATCTACATGTGAAAATACATCAACATGTGAACACATATCTACATGTGAACATACATCAACATGTGAACATACATCTATAGGTGAACATATATCGACATGTGAACATACATTAACATGTGAACATATATCGACATGTGAACATACATTAACATGTGAACATATATCTACATGTGAACATACATCTATAGATGAACATACATCAACATGTGAACATACATCTACATGTGAACGTACATCTACATGTGAACATACATCAACATGTGAACATACATCTATAGGTGAACATAAATCAACATGTGAACATACATCTACATGTGAACATACATCAACATGTGAACACATATCTACATGTGAACATACATCTAAAGGTGAACATACATCAACATGTGAACATACATCTACATGTGAACATACATCTACATGTGAACATACATCAACATGTGAACATACATCTACATGTGAACATACATCTACATGTGAACATACATCAACATGTGAACATACATTAACATGTGAACATACATCAACATGTGAACACATATCTACATGTGAACATACATTAACATGTTAACATATATCTACATGTGAACATACATCTACATGTGAACATACATCTACATGTGAACATATATCTACATGTGAACATATATCTACATGTGAACATACATCTACATGTGAACACATATCTACATGTGAACATACATTAACATGTTAACATATATCTACATGTGAACATACATCTACATGTGAACATACATCAACATGTGAACATACATCAACATGTGAACATACATCTACATGTGAACATATATCTACATGTGAACATACATCTATAGGTGAACATACATCAACATGTGAACATACATCTACATTGTAAACATACATCAACATGTGAACATACATCTTCTCATAATATGAATGAATGAAAATCTATGGAATATGGTGATATAAAGATTGAATAATATCAATAATAATATTAAGAATAAAGTGCCAGTATATATTGTTATATAGAGATTTTTAGCTGAAGCGTTCATTGGAGTAAGTATTTGGTACAGAAAGACAACAGAAAAAGGATTCTGTATGTATACAATCAACAACTACAGTATAAAATATGTTTCTAAAAGAAAGTACTGTGGAAAGTCAATACATCTGAGTTAAGGTGAGGTTAGAATAGACCTGTTGTATCACAGGGAGTAATATCACAAAAATGACAAATAGCGCCACCTATAGTGTCAGCGGTATCAATCAATCCTTAACTGTCGTGAGTAGAGGAAATATGTTTATTCTTCAACTTATCTAAATATCCCACAGGTATATTATGGCTTGGAAAAACTTCATAAAGAGATCATAATTAAGGTATAGTATATGCAGGGCTCTCGATCTGCCAGATTTGGGGCCGAAATCCCAATGCAAAATAGTATCTTTTTTTCACAATTTAGACCCCAAGTTCTCCCAATTCTAAGGAAAAACACCATTACTTTTCCCAATTCTAAGGGCCCCAGGGCCCAGTCCCAAAATGGGGTGTGAGAGCCCTGATATGTCAAAATTGTGAGGCTTGAAGGAAGATTCTGCTTTATGACAGTTAACATTTTAAACTTACAAGACAATTTTCTTTTTAAACAATGGGCAGTCTAGTGTAAAGGTTTCATACTCCCCTCCCTCTCCACACACATTCAGCTTAAACTTGGTGTGCTGTAAAAAACAAGGGTAGCAATATCAATCTATTGAAAGTATTAACAAATGTTCTGAATCATTCTACCGGGTACATATAGCTTTATTGATTTACTGATTTCTTAAAAATGAAAATCATAACTAAATTTGATACTCATAGATTTGTTCAGCTGAAAAAAATTGATTAATCACCCAAGAGCTTGTCTTCAGTTCTATCTGTTGAATGTAAGAAACTTGTATATTTGGGGTCCAAGATTCAATCTTTAACAGAGGCATTGAAATAAATAACAAATCCTTTTACACAAAACAATACATTTTCTGTTCAGAAGAAACAAGGGAATCATTAATGGAGAAAAATGGTTTTACAGGACCTAAGGAACAATTAATTACCATTCTGAGAAGTTCAGGCTGCATCTCTGCTAAAGTTCTACCTAAGTGTTTTTTAGGATCCAGACCTATACAAAACAAAAACCAAAGTCTTAAATCATCCAGATATCTGTAAACTGAGACAAATATTGATGCAAAAAGTGTATGATGTATTATAAAAAGCAATCAATGAAACAAAGGTACATACTGACATTTTGAAAAGATAGCTCATTAAACTATCACCAGTAGCAGATGAAGCTATCCCCAGAAGCTGATGAAGCTATCGCCAGTAGCTGATGAAGCTATCGCCAGTAGCTGATGAAGCTATCGCCAGAAGCTGATGAAGCTATCCCCAGTAGCTGATGAAGCTATCGCCAGTAGCTGATGAAGCTATCGCCAGTAGCTGATGAAGTTATCGCCAGAAGCTGATGAAACTATTGTCAGAAGCTAATGAAGCTATTGCCAGTAGCAGATGAAACTATTTCCAGAAGCTGATGAAACTATCACAGTAGGAGATGAAACTATCACCAGTACCTGATGAGACTATCACCAGTACCTGATGAGACTATCACCAGTATCTGATGAAACTATCACCAGTACCTGATGAGACTATCACCAGTATCTGATGAAACTATCACCAGTATCTGATGAAACTATCACCAGTACCTGATGAGACTATCACAAGTATCTGATGAAACTATCACCAGTACCTGATGAAACTATCACCAGTACCTGATGAGACTATCACCAGTACCTGATGAGACTATCACAAGTATCTGATGAAACTATCACCAGTACCTGATGAAACTATCACCAGTACCTGATGAAACTATCACAAGTATCTGATGCTTTCACCAGTGGTTGATAAGACTATCACTTTAAACTTTGGTCAAGAGAGAAAGGTTCCTACCTAGAGATGCAACTTTAATAAGAACAGCAATTACACCAGAGTCAATCATCTCTTTGAGGAGTTCTGTCTGGTCCCGTCGCCATAGATATGCCAGACATGTAAGGCCTAGTCTTTGACATCTGGATAATCAACACAGGAACAAAAAGTTTTACTCGAATTTGATCATACTAAAACTTTTCTGATGTGTCACAGCCAATCAAGCATTGATGAATAATTTTGAATTCAATTTTACAATCTAAACCTTAAACAAGCCAAGTGGTCTTTTAAATACTCACACATTTTCCACTCGTACCCTCTGGTAGTTTGACAATATAGCACCCACTGACACAGCCTCTATATCAATCTCTTTCTGTAGAAAACCAAAATCACATATATAAGTGACATATTGTATAAACCTGCAATATATCCAGGATGCCAAATTAGAAGTTCTTACTCAAAGTTACAGATTATTCTCGATACTCCAGGGGTTACGACATTATGACATGTTCCAGGGGTGTAGAGAGCAAGAGATCATAACCCCTGAAGTATTGATGATGAGTAAGAGGTACACTGAAATAGCATTAGTTAATACATTTTTGATCAGCAATATACATAAAAAGAACATGGGAGCCATGGGCTTATTTCTGGATGGTAATGTTAAACATTTTATCTTATTTCTCTAAAGTATTTTAGCACATCTATATATTAGATTTAAAAAATGCCATTCACTTCATTTTGAAAACAGAGATAAATCTTTAAAATATTTCTTTGGAAACATACTATATTTCTTGATAAAAGTTTAGAAATTGAAATCTGTGTCAGGCACTAACCTTAACTTTCTGTAAAAGAATCAACAGGTCCTCAACCTCATCCTGGGGGTTGGGGACATAGTCACCCCCTGTCTCCTTAGCCACACCCTGGATAGTTTGTCTAAACAGGGGCAAACCCATAGCCTCAGCATACAGATGTATAGCATGGTGTCCTACAGTCTGGTACATATAGCTATCCATCTCATCTGTGTCAGTAAAACATTACATTTGTTCAAAACAAGATTTTTGTACTTCATTGAAAATGTGATAATTAAGTTGTTTTCATTTGACTTCAGCATAAATTACCTACATGCTAAGTTTACAGCAGAATGTCATCTTGTTATCTCATTTAAATATGTTAAAATAGATAAATAAGAAAGGCTCAGATCCAAAACAGGCAGTGATATGTGATAGCACAGCTTGAAGAATATAATACTGACATATTATTCTGTTATTTTTGTTGGATTTAAAACCTATACAGGCATATCACTTATACCCTCTTAATAAAGTAAATGAAATACTGTAGTTATCTACCCTGGACTGCTGGCCTCAGGTTGGCTAGTGCTACAATCTCATGTCCTTCTGCTACACACTGGATCATATTGTAGCAGCTGTCCTTGCCGCCACTAGAAAAAGTGGTAAAAACATGAATATATCAGCAAAATTATCTGATAAAATACGAAGTATTCAATTCTGTGTTTCATGTATACTGAAGGAGGAATTCATTTGTTTACAACATAGTGTACATATCGATCATCTATTGGTAGAGACGGTATTAAAACCTTGTGTTTTTATTCTGTAAACAGCCAGGGTAATTTTGAAGTGTGGTACTTAGTTAGTAGCTGGTGGCTTACACACTGAACAACAAGTGGCAGTGTAAAGTGTTTGTTCAAAGACAAAACCACAATAGCACATGATGAACCTTGGACTCAGCTCTCTGAGAAACACAAACTGTCCCAATCAGGATCAAACTACTTACTTCACTTGAGGTTATATAATCTTTCATGAGAAATGCAATAAACTCCTAAAATTAAGACTCTCTTGAATACACTGCAGCCCATCTGATTTCAATGGTGGCAAAAATGAAAGAAAACTCAAAAAAACAAACCCACCTCCCCTCCCCCAACCCCCAATATAACATGAGAATCACAACCATGCTTATTGATCCATATTGAATCTAAATCAAATCTAGTCCAAGTCTGTGGTGTGATAATTCATTTTGCTACACACATAAGCATGCTTGTAGTTTCTCGTCTAGTAGCACTTGATCTAAGATGAATTTCAGAGAGGCATTATGTTATCCATCATATACAAGTGTAATAGGAGCAGAAAAATGTATAGTCAGATGGGTTTGAATCGGGGTCCTTCAACCCAGTCCAGTTTTGCTACATTTCTTTCTCCTTTTTCTTAGTCCTTGCCCCCAAAGATCCTACTATATTTAAAATCCAGGTTTGGGAATCCCCCTAGTCAAGCATACTTCTACATGAAACAAGGGTTAATCACATGCAACGGTTTGTAACAGGAGTGAATAAAAAAATGCACAGGCACAACAGGAGCAGCATAATGCATGGTCAGACCAAGGTTAGAACCCGGGATCCTCTTGACTCAAGTTGTATGCTCTACCAATCAAGCTAGCTAGTCGCAGACAAGTGATCTATTCCAGCTCGGCTACAAATGTACTAATATAGCGTTTCAGAAAATAAAGATAAAACTTTAAATCTAACGTTTAAACCTTTATTGTAATTCTTCCTGAAATCAGAATATTGATATTTAACGTCTTTTTTCTACTGTTTTTTAGCTGCCTGTGTGTTCCTGTATAAAGTACCAAAAAATATCAGAAACAGTTTTTTTGCTAATATATTTCTGATTTTACCTTAACTTTTGGGAAATAACATACTTCTTACTATGGGGAAACAACTGTCTTTTGCTCTAAATTGTAAAACAAGGCAAAACAATCAAGATTTGATTACCTTATTAATGCGACGGTTTTCATTTTGAGTCTGGAAATCTTTGATCAAAAACCTTGTTTACATTTACACACGTGTTTACACCGGAACTGAAATTGTTTGAGCATGCGTAAATTCCGTACACGTCGAATCCTAATCTAGATCTATGGAAAGTTTTTCACTATCTGGCTGGTAAGAGCTAATTGTCGAAGCATATTTTTACACAGAGCATGATATTTTACTAGGGAAGTTGTCTGCAAAACTTTGGTAAGAAATCCAAATTTTGTTTGAAATACTGGATCATAGATTATTATGTAACCTAAAACTTTGGCTTTGAATTGAGTAAACGTATTTTCTTTTTAAGAAACTACATTTCTTGAGACTGCATACACATTTTGCTACGCGATTGTTATTGTTGCTGTAGCAGGTCTACTGGCAATTTTCGGTTTGTCAAAATTAGATGGTTAAGGCAGTTAAACACACAATACCTATCGTTAAATGATAATTCAGGGATGTTTTCTTATGTTTATGTACTGGTATTTGTTGAATTGTAATAGTCAGTGACTGTAGAATAAACCAAGTTATTAACAAATAATGAAAAAAAAACAATACTACTTAGTCTGTACTGCTACTCTTCTAATGCCTTGTGGAATTCCTCCTTGGGACTCATATATATCGGACGTTTGACAATGTCCCTCGTCACATTGTGGAATAGTGTATGCGACCACTGGTGACATTTTATTTCCATTTTGAACAACTTCATACTGATTGTATATTATGATGACTGATTTATAAATGCTTAATTTAAGTGAAAAGAAATGCTATTTTAGAGGTACATGTATTTTTCAGACATCAGTAGTATGCAAGATGTCATGGTTGTCAGGATTGACCGGAAATGTTGAGGAATTTCTCAACAAGATTGACCAGTCAGCAGCTGGAGCCTTACGCAATGAAAGTGAGACTAGTTACGCATCAGGAAATGTTACTGGTAGTAAACGGAGTGACCACACTGCTGATGCTGCTTCCTCTAGGCAATATCTCCAAAACCCATTACCCATAGGTCCAGCTAAATCAACCAGTCAAGGAACAGACAAATCCTCACCATTTGTAACTAAACCAGTTCGCCAAACACTTACAGGATTATCTAAAACACCAAGTACTCCGCTGCAGACAAACATCAAACAGGGTAGTTCTCCAAGTCCAATACAGAAACCTTCAGCAGGTGTTACATCCTCTGTATCAAGTCCACAGCAATCAACAACAGTAGTGACACCTGGGGGCAAGAAAAAAATTGACTCTGATGAAGCTTTGTTTGACTTTCTTAATAGCAGTGATCCTGTAGATTCCACAAGAAAGAAAAGTACAACTCCTCTCAGTAGTGCTCGACATTCCCGGCAGTCAAGCACATCTTCTACCATATCGAGTAAGGGTACGAAAAGTACAGATGCCCCACCCTCCACCAGTGGATCATCTATAGTGCACATAGACTCAGTTGGTCCAGGTTAGTGGTTGACTCATGTGATGATAATACTAAATTATTTATTTCAAACATTTTGTGATATGCATACCGTATAGTTATAGTATATATGCTTGGTATATTCTGTTTTTTGGCATCATGGTTAAGAAATGATTTAGAAAATGAAGATATTGGAATTGGTATTTATTCTATATTAATCCTTGTTTTTTTTATTCGTTTCTGATAACTGTAGCAAGTGAACGAGAAAGTCCAAACTCTGAGCCTGATGGGTTGGCTGATATGGCAGCACTTGCTGATGCTATGCTGGAACAAAGTCCTAGCAACAGTGTCCATAGCAACCAGGGCTCAGAAACAGCTGGAGAAGCCCATCAAAAAATGTCATCACTAGAGCTAGAGAACAAGCTCCTCAAAAATGAAGTTGCCTCTCTGAACCAGGAGATGTCCTCAATCCTACAGAGATCGAAGGATTCTGTTTCTGGTACTGTTAATAACTAGTTGTTAATGTTGAAGCAGAAAAGGTATTAAGATAATAATAATCAATTATTAATTTGTTTACACAATTGATTTTTTCTGCCTAAATGAAGCATACTACCAATTGTGTAAGCCCACCAGATCCAAAATGTTACCTGAGACATAGTTTTAAGCTGATGAAATGTTACAGAGCTACTGAAACTCCAGTATATAGGTTTATTACAAGATAAAACCAGAATGTATCTGAACTGATGTTGACATAAAATGGTAAAACTAGTTCAAGATGTTAAAATCAAATCCTTAATGGGAATTGATATTTGTTACTGAAGATTTGTTTAGAAATATACAATGTGCTTTTTCTAACATCTGTCTCATGTCAGTGATAGACTAAAGGTTGATAAAATGCATATTTTCTGATTTTCCAAGAAATTTTCTTGAACCTTATAAAGCCAAAATAAATTTTCATGTTTTATTTTTTTTGTCTTTCTTGCTAGAATTAAATGCAACCAAACAGAAGCTGGATTCTTATCATCGGTCAGCATCCATGCATGATCAGCTGGTACGTGAGCTGCAGTCACGAGAATCAGATCTGACAGAGGCTTTGGGGGCCAAAGATTCCCAACTTGCTATTCTTAGAGTGAGACTAGAAGAAGCAGACAAAGAGCTGACAAGGAAAGCTGCATCAATACAGGATCTCCAATCACATAGGGACAGGTAACTTTATTGACTTGGTTGTAAAGACCTAATACAATAGCTTATTGATATTTCCTTTCAGGGGCATGATAGTTTGATTGGTAGATTATTAGACTTTTCAACTTCAGTTTGTGTAATTCAGTCACTACACAGGTACTTTATAGTGTGATTCAGTCCCTACACAGATACTTTATAGTGTAATTCAGTCACTACACAGGTACTGTATAGTGTAATTCAGTCACTACACAGGTACTTTATAGTGTAATTCAGTCCTTTCACAGGTACTTTATAGTGTAATTCAGTCACTACACAGGTACTTTTTAGTGGATTCAGTCCCTACACAGGTACTTTATAGTGTAATTCAGTCACTACACAGGTACTTTATAGTGTGATTCAGTCCCTACACAGATACTTTATAGTGTAATTCAGTCACTACACAGGTACTGTATAGTGTAATTCAGTCACTACACAGGTACTTTATAGTGTAATTCAGTCCTTTCACAGGTACTTTATAGTGTAATTCAGTCACTACACAGGTACTTTTTAGTGGATTCAGTCCCTACACAGGTACTTTATAGTGTAATTCAGTCACTACACAGGTACTTTTTAGTGGATTCAGTCCCTACACAGGTACTTTATAGTGTAATTCAGTCACTACACAGGTACTTTATAGTGTGATTCAGTCCTTTCACAGGTACTTTTTAGTGGATTCAGTCCCTACACAGGTACTTTTTAGTGGATTCAGTCCCTACACAGGTACTTTATAGTGTAATTCAGTCACTACACAGGTACTTCATAGTGTAATTCAGTCACTACACAGGTACTTCATAGTGTAATTCAGTCACTACACAGGTACTTCATAGTGTAATTCAGTCACTACACAGGTACTTCATAGTGTAATTCAGTCACTACACAGGTACTGTATAGTGTAATTCAGTCACTACACAGGTACTTTATAGTGTGATTCAGTCCTTTCACAGGTACTTTTTAGTGGATTCAGTCCCTACACAGGTACTTTATAGTGTAATTCGGTCACTACACAGGTACTTTATAGTGTAATTCAGTCCCTTCACAGGTACTTTTTAGTGGATTCAGTCACTACACAGGTACTTTATAGTGTAATTCAGTCAATACACAGGTACTTTATAGTGTAATTCAGTCACTACACAGGTACTTTATAGTGTGATTCGGTCCCTACACAGGTACTTTATATCATAATTCAGTCACTACACAGGTACTTTATAGTGTGATTCAGTCACTACACAGGTACTTTATAGTGTAATTCAGTCACTACACAGGTACTTTATAGTGTAATTCAGTCACTACACAGGTACTTTATAGTGTAATTCAGTCCCTACACAGGTACTTTATAGTGTAATTCAGTCACTACACAGGTACTTTATAGTGTAATTCAGTAACTACACAGGTGCTTCATATTGTAATTCAGTCACTACACAGGTATTTTATATTGTAATTCAGTAACTACACAGGTGCTTCATATTGTAATTCAGTCACTACACAGGTACTTTATAGTGTAATTCGGTCACTACACAGGTACTTTATAGTGTAATTCATTCCCTTCACAGGTACTTTTTAGTGGATTCAGTCACTACACAGGTACTTTATAGTGTAATTCAGTCACTACACAGGTACTTTATAGTGTAATTCAGTCAATACACAGGTACTTTATAGTGTAATTCAGTCACTACACAGGTACTTTATATTGTAATTCAGTCACTACACAGGTACTTTATAGTGTAATTCGGTCACTACACAGGTACTTTATAGTGTAATTCAGTCACTACACAGGTACTTTATAGTGTAATTCAGTCCCTACACAGGTACTTGATAGTGGATTCAGTCACTACACAGGTACTTTATAGTGTAATTCATTCCCTTCACAGGTACTTTTTAGTGGATTCAGTCCCTACACAGGTACTTTATAGTGTAATTCAGTCACTACACAGGTACTTTATAGTGTAATTCAGTCACTACACAGGTACTTTATAGTGTAATTCAGTCACTACACAGGTACTTTATAGTGTAATTCAGTCCCTACACAGGTACTTGATAGTGGATTCAGTCACTACACAGGTACTTTATAGTGTAATTCATTCCCTTCACAGGTACTTTTTAGTGGATTCAGTCCCTACACAGGTACTTTATAGTGTAATTCAGTCACTACACAGGTACTTTATAGTGTAATTCAGTCACTACACAGGTACTTTATAGTGTAATTCAGTCACTACACAGGTACTTTATAGTGTAATTCAGTAACTACACAGGTGCTTCATATTGTAATTCAGTCACTACACAGGTACTTTATATTGTAATTCAGTAACTACACAGGTGCTTTATAGTGTAATTCAGTCACTACACAGGTACTTTATAGTGTAATTCAGTCACTACACAGGTACTTTATAGTGTAATTCAGTCCCTACACAGGTACTTGATAGTGGATTCAGTCACTACACAGGTACTTTATAGTGTAATTCATTCCCTTCACAGGTACTTTTTAGTGGATTCAGTCCCTACACAGGTACTTTATAGTGTAATTCAGTCACTACACAGGTACTTTATATTGTAATTCAGTAACTACACAGGTGCTTCATATTGTAATTCAGTCACTACACAGGTACTTTATAGTGTAATTCAGTCAATACACAGGTACTTTATAGTGTAATTCAGTCAATACACAGGTACTTTATAGTGTAATTCAGTCAATACACAGGTACTTTATAGTGTAATTCAGTCACTACACAGGTACTTTATAGTGTGATTCGGTCCCTACACAGGTACTTTATATCATAATTCAGTCACTACACAGGTACCTTATAGTGTGATTCAGTCACTACACAGGTACTTTATAGTGTAATTCAGTCACTACACAGGTACTTTATAGTGTAATTCAGTCACTACACAGGTACTTTATAGTGTAATTCAGTCACTACACAGGTACCTTATAGTGTGATTCAGTCACTAAACAGGTACTTTATAGCGTAATTCAGTCACTACACAGGTACTTTATAGTGTAATTCAGTCACTACACAGGTACTTTATAGTGTGAATCAGTCACTACACAGGTACTTTATAGTAGATTCAGTCCCTACACAGGTACTTTATAGTGTAATTCAGTCACTACACAGGTACTTTATAGTGTAATTCAGTCACTACACAGGTACTTTATAGTGTAATTCAGTCACTACACAGGTACTTTATAGTGTAATTCAGTCACTACACAGGTACTTTATAGTGTAATTCAGTCACTACACAGGTACTTTATAGTAGATTCAGTCCCTACACAGGTACTTTATAGTATAATTCAGTCACTACACAGGTAATTTATAGCATAATTCAGTCACTACACAGGTACTTTATAGTGTAATTCAGTCCCTACACAGATACTTTATAGTGTGATTCAGTCACTACACAGGTACTTTATAGTGTAATTCAGTCACTACACAGGTACTATATAGTGTAATTCAGTCACTACACAGGTACTTTATAGTGTAATTCAGTCACTACACAGGTACTTTATAGTGTAATTCAGTCACTACACAGGTACTTGATAGTGTGATTCAGTCTCTACACAGGTACTTTATAGTGTAATTCAGTCACTACACAGGTACTTTATAGTGTGATTCAGTCCCTACACAGAGTAGTGTAATGTGTGATTCAGTCACTACACCTGATATTCATCTTTGTCTAATTATGGAGGATTAAAACACACATTTTCAAGTAAATCCTTTGTTCAGGTTTGATACTAGCGATAGGAAGAGTCACCTCTAGAAGTCACTGCTTATTATATGCATTGTATGGAACAGATGATCTATCCATTAGATATTTTCATATTTTCTATATATTTATAGCCTTAATCACATGCTTGATATGATGGCAAGGTTTTTTGGTAAGGCAAGCTCATGCACATTTCAAAATCATCATCTGTCAACACTACTAATTAAGAGAGAGTCACTTCATACTGTTGGAAACAATATTAGTCTTCATGTACTTCCAGAATCCACCAGAAGAATACCTGTCAATTATGTTTGATATATTTGATTCAAAGACACTTTGATAAGAAATTAACAAGTATTATATGATTTCAGAATACTTCAGGACCACACAGACTCCAGTGGTATGCACAGTCAGGCCCTTGACACTCTGAAACATAAATTAGTGGAGGTGGAGACAGCACTCCATAGGGAACAGGAAGCTTATAAACAAGCTCAGGTATCTCATTTCATCATAGCAAACACTCTAAAATGACAAAAATAATATCAAAGTGACAAATCTACTGTCAATAGAATGACAAATAACTACCATAGCAATAAACATACTGTCATAATAGTAATTGCTGATTTGGTGAAAAAAAAGAGTAACTGTCGTCTTGATAAATCTGATTTCAATGTCAAAGATGTGAAGTTTGAATGTTGAATGAGTGTAGAGATAATGTTACCTGAATTGATCATTATTATCATGCTTCTATTGCAGACAGAGGCTTCAGACAGACAGAGCAGACTGGAAGAGGAACAGAGAAGTTTAGCTGAGGCCCTCACTTCCTCAGAACGGAGATTAAATGAGGAAAAAGGTAGATCATTTTTACTTAGTCATTAGATAGTGGATTTTCTTATTCAAATTAATAATGTATTAAAGATTAATAGGAAATATACATGAAATTCAATCACCGTTGATAATAATTCTCTCATGATCACATATTTCCACATTTTCATTTTTCACCTTGATAATAAATTGTTGCTCTTTTGAATAATTGTTTTGATACTTATCAATTTCAAGAGAGGACTCCACTGTATAAAAGGACTTACTAAAGTTTCAAGCAAGAGATGAGAAAAGTTTATATTGCAATTTTGGAGTATAACAGTAACAGAACAATTCATCAAGGATCATTTAGAAATAAATTGATACAGGGAGGATCATTTAGAAATAAATAGATACAGGGAGGTACTGGAAATTGGCAGTACTGTACTATGTTATTGCAATACTTGTTAAAATTTGTATAATAAGCCACAAAGAAAACAGACTGTCACCTCAGACCCCCATGCTATATCTTTCTGTATAAGCCATCATAGAACAATGTCATCCCTAACTTATTATTTTTTAGCAAAAGTTTCTGAAATATCTGTCCATATGAAATCACTGAAGAGTAATGCTGACTCGGCCAAACAGGAACTGTCAGAGTACAAGGAGAAAGCCACAAGGATACTACAGGTACTGTGCCAAACCTGTTTTTGGGTATAACTGGGTACAGCTTAGTATAGATACTGTACCAAAACTGTGTTAGAGTTTACCTGGGTACATTTTGCTACAGGTACTATACTAAAACTGTGTTAGAGTTTACCTGGGTACATTTTGCTACAGGTACTATACTAAAACTGTGTTAGAGTTTACCTGGGTACATTTTGCTACAGGTACTGTACCAAAACTGTGTTAGAGTTTACCTGGGTACATTTTGCTACAGGTACTGTACCAAAACTGTGTTGGGGTTTACTTTGGTACATTTTGCTACAGGTACTATACTAAAACTGTGTTGGGGTTTACTTTGGTACATTTTGCTACAGGTACTATACTAAAACTGTGTTAGAGTTTACCTGGGTACATTTTGCTACAGGTACTGTACCAAAACTGTATTGGGGTTTACTTTGGTACATTTTGCTACAGGTACTATACTAAAACTGTGTTAGAGTTTACTTGGGTACATTTTGCTACAGGTACTATACTAAAACTGTGTTAGAGTTTACCTGGGTACATTTTGCTACAGGTACTATACTAAAACTGTGTTAGAGTTTACTTGGGTACATTTTGCTACAGGTACTATACTAAAACTGTGTTAGAGTTTACCTGGGTACATTTTGCTACAGGTACTATACTAAAACTGTGTTAGAGTTTACTTGGGTACATTTTGCTACAGGTACTATACTAAAACTGTGTTAGAGTTTACTTGGGTACATTTTGCTACAGGTACTATACTAAAACTGTGTTAGAGTTTACCTGGGTACATTTTGCTACAGGTACTGTACCAAAACTGTGTTGGGGTTTACTTTGGTACATTTTGCTTCAGGTACTGTACCAAAATTTGTAAAACTTTATTTTCATTTGCAATTGGTCATGCTCAAATGTTATCATGTCTTCCATACCTCAGTAATCAAATTTATAACATATTGTACTAAAAAAAAGTTTATAGAAATGTCTTGGTATCACAGACTACATACAACCTTTGGTCAGTTTAACATCGAACTGTTATTTGTAAACAACACATTTTGTGACTTTCCCACACTTTTGTAGTCCAAGGAGAGACTGATTGCCAGTCTGAGAGAGGGGTCAGGGGCAGCAGGGGAGATGGCTGGAGTGTCTAGTCTTGAGTATGACTCTGTCAAACAGGAGCGGGACATGTTTAGAGATGAACTTCAGCAGTCCAGGATGACAGTGGATAGTCTGAGAGTGGAACTGCAGGTAAAGGAAGATGAGATTGTTAAAATTTCAAGCACTTTTTCCTGGTATTATATTTCCCAGTAAGTGGTGAGAAACAAGTGGCATCATTAAAATATCTTTTGATTTTGGTATTTCATGCATCATACACTAAAACTAATCCTACCACTCTCAATATCAATTGGATCATGATATGTAGTACACTGTAATAGATTAGCCCATTGCTCAACCTGATTGTTTGAACTGTACAATTTAAAACTAAAAAAAAATAGCTTCACAACGTAAAGATCAAGTAGGCCTGCATGAGTTACTTTCTCTTTGTCATGTTTGACCAGTTTGAACCAGGCTAGGCTCGGTCACCACATAGTAAGGATGTCAGTGATATCAGCCTTGTGTGTCAGGTTTCTGTATGATAACACTTTTCTTTGAATGTAATTGCAGTATTTATGAAAATATTTTAGGTTAATTTATGCTTTAGATAATTAATGTAATCAATAATACAAAAATAAGAGAAATCTACATATTTTTTGTGTACTATATTTTTATTAATATTTCTTGACTCATTGATCTCCAAGTAAGCACATACAAATATCCAGAGTGAAAGCTGAATCACTGCATCATTCCTCCGTCAATCATGTTTAAGATTAAAGATGAAACAAGTTATCACTAAGAATATAAGAAGTGAATTGTTACTCAATATCCGACAGGGGAAAAAATACCCTCATTGATCTGTTTTCAGTTACTTTATATATGATTGTGGTCTATATTGTCGAGGAATGTTGTGATTACTGTATCGATGAAAAAAATAAAGACCTGCCTCCGAAGTAAGGAGGCAAGCGCCTTATATGTGTTATATAGACCACAGGGGTCCCTTCCGTCCTTATCAAGGGGAGTGCTAACCTTCTCTCCTTTCTTACAACACATCCAATATAGTTGTACATCAGGGTTTTATACCCCTAGTGGCTTTATCTTTAAAATGTTGGTGTTGTGAAATTTTAATAATTGTAAGTAACATTTGTAAATCTAAATTACATGTTGATACAACTAAATTTACAAATACCTAGCATTTATAATGATAGTAAAACGTAAATTTTGGTGAGCTTGAAATGATCTTTTACTCTGCCTGCTTTTCAAATCAGAGGTTTAATCATTAAAAAAGAGGAAAATGTAATATAGGGGAGATAACTCTTTATTATCTCCCCTTCTCATATAACAGTATTGTTGGGAAATATAGATGTCATTAAGATGGATTATCTTTGTTTGTTTGGTTTAAGTATATTATAAACTATTTTTTCTAGAGAGGCAACTCAATTTTGTAATATTTAATTGTAACATATTGATTATTTATAAAGGTCTTGTAAAGGATACTAACCAACAATCTGGACAAGGTTTTTCTAAGAAAATTCATTTTATTCAGTACTCATAAGTATTTTGTTATGTAATTGACAAAAAACACTTTTATTCTGGAGGCTGCAAAATTAAATAGAAGCTGGACTTATAGGATTTAATTGAAGAAAAAAAAAGGAAAAAAAAAGTTTAATGTCCCTGTTATTTGTATTGATGGTGGTTATTTTATAATCATATGTTAGGATCTGGAAGGGCAATTACAGCAGGACAGTGATGAAGCAAATGAACAGATACGAGCTCTAGAGGACAACGTTATAAGCGAGAAACGTCGGCGAGAGGAAGCTGAGACTGAACTCCTCAAACAAAAACAGGTTATTCAAAATAAATAAGACTCTACTTACAGTACATTTGTATGGTTGGTAACAGTCATTCTTTCATGCTTATATTAATGGCTTTTGAGAGAATTGTAAGCTAAAAGCATTTGGTGGAAAATTAATACTGCAGCTGGTGTCTCTTAAAATTAATTTTTTTATTTCATTTTAATCAGGAGATGCAATATTCAATAGAGGAAATTCACAAACAGAAAGGAACATTCCAGAACTGTGTCAGAGACAGAGAAATGGAAATTGAAAGACTCAGAAATCAGGTACGCCTCCGGATTCTGTGATAGATAAAAACTGTAATGTATTCTTTGATTCTATTCTCTATTTGGTAATAATAATGAAGTTAAAGTGAAAATTATTGATTTTTTACCCCAGACTGAAATTTTAAACCTTTGTAAGATAAAAATTTACTTCTATTTGAAGCATAGGGTGTCCTTGTAATATCTATTCACCATTAGATGTGTACCACTATTTATACTTCCATCACTGAATATGAAATTTGTTTACTTCTGGTGCAAGATAACACTGATTTTATGTAGAAATTTATCAGCATGGTACACAATTGGGGTGTTTGATGATTATGCTAGTTTCTTTAACTTGTGGTTTTTTAGCTCACTACAAAATCCATGAGCTCTACGTCAGAGAGTGAACTAGAATCTCGTGTGAGGTCACTAACCGAAAGCCTCATACACAAGCAGACCATGTTGGAGGCTTTGAGTACAGAGAAAAACTCACTCACTCTTCAGCTTGAGAGGCTCGAGGTAAAAGCTAAAATCAAATTTTTCACACATTTGCTCAGATTTGCCATAGAGGTTATGAAAATGTTCTAATTTTAAGAGGTTAAATGTTATTTGTGTTTGAGAAGTATTTCTGCACATTAATGCTGTTCAGTTGAGAAAATCATAAAGTCAGTGGATGGATCCTTACTAGTGATGTGTCTGGGGGACTCCCCCTCAAAAAATTGTTACAGTTATAATTTCCTGAACTCTGATCTACTTTCATATTTATTTGACTTATTATCAGGGAATAGTTATTTTATGAGTTTTAAATTTGGTTTCATGAATGAATAGTAAACTTGCTAGTTGGGTTCGTGGATGAAAAGTGATATTGTTGTTATGTGGGCTTTGTAGTTGAGTAGTTTCAATGGAAGTTTAAAGGAAATGGTGCTTTTGCATGGGTTTATAGATATTAAATAACTAACTATATTTGTTAATACTTTATGCCAAAGATTGCATGAAAACTATTTTTCACATTTGGATGATTCTCTGTATTTAATCTAAGTGTAATTTCAGCAAAGTAAAGTGTACTTTTAGTGATAATTTTTTTCCATTTTTTTTCTGTTCTATATCTCATAAGTGTTTGATTTATTTTTAAGAATTTTTGTAGCTTGACAATACATGTTATAATAAACAATAATAATACAAAAAAATTAAAACTACACATTTGCATTGTAAAATTGGTTTTAAAGATGCAGTATAAAGATGTCCAAGCCTCATCACTGAGGACCAACACTGCTGTGGTCCATGTCAATGATGATGATGAAGGTATGTCAAATACTACCAGTATAATGCTTTTGTCAGTCACACAACTCATTCTCTGATAAATCTCAGTACTTTTATGTTGGCATAGCTGTGACATTCATAGCCATTATAAACACCATATCAAGATAGTTCATTGTGAATCTGGTAAATGTAAGCAGATCAATTTCATCAGAAAGCATTGAAGCAAAAGTGAAAAATGGAAAAAAACATTAACAAAGCAGGTGATATGAGTTAATGGTATGATGTAAATTTCAGAAGCATGTACAGACAAGATTTTAAAAAATGCAATGTAGATTTCTGGAAATTTGATAAATGAAAATTGATTAAATGCTTTGATTTGATGTTATACATGTTTGGTTGAAAAAGGAAAATTGTATGTATATTGACAGTGAGACAGAGACTACCGGCATTCATGCGTGAAACAGCAACTGATACAGAAGTGACCAAAAAAATGAAACGTGCTGCCAACTCAATCGACAAATTAGGGTAAGATTGCCATTTAGGTACCTGGCCCCACTTGTATAAAACATCTCAACTTGAGAATTCTTCAAGCCCAGATTTTCCTCAACTAATATCTCCTTGAAAATATCTTGTATGAAAATTCCTCAAGGAATTTCAGGACATCCTAGCCGATACCTTCCTCCTGTTCCTTGAGAAAATTTTATACAAGCCGTTTTTGAGGAGATATCAGCTGAGGAAAATCTTGACTTGAGGAAATCTCAAGTTGATATGTTTTATACAAGTGGGGCCTGGTATTAATGAGTTAATCTAAAGTCACAATGTTTGGTGACAATCTTCTTTCCTTGGGCATGTGACTCAATACAAATATTATTATTCTGTGACAAAGCTTTTTGATATAATGAAATATTTTCCTTAGTACATCTATTACTATGGTAATACACCTCTGTGTTACATAGAATATATTAATTATTTACATTTGTTACACTTTCTATACCTTTTTCAGAGATTTACATTAATAATTGTTTGTAATAGTTCACTTTTCCTATTCCAGTATACGCCTTGGAGTTTTCCTCAGAAGATACCCCATTGCCAGAGTATTTGTGATATTGTACATGGTGAGTTATGCCTAGGTTTGAAGGTTTTGCCTGACACAAATTTTCTTTATACCCAAAATATCAAAGCATTCCCATGTTAACAAGATTTTTTATCTGTCATTTAACTACCCTGGTATTAGTTAATAATATATAATTGACATTGATTGTTATGAAAACACATTAGCAGGACTTTTGTTAAATATAGGGTCTGTTGGCAATAACCGAGATGTCTTATTACAGCCTTTTAAATTGCTTGAAATCGCTGAAATAATTCTTGTTACTACTATTTCTTGAGAATTACCTACTGGATCTTCTTATCTTTCATATGTAGGTTCCCCTTGTTTCATAGTTGTGTCCTTAGGATTTTGGGACTGATCAGAAAAGCAAAATGGTTGACAGGTGGCCAATATAGATTTTTACAATGAAATATTAATATTGTTTTTCTTGAGAAATACAAGATGGGATATTTCTCCAATTTCAAATGTTGGTGCGTCATAGTCTGCAGTTGAGCTAGTATCATTTTTGGACTGATCAGATAAATTAAATGGCTGAGAGGCAACCATCTTGGATTTGACAGTCAAAGATTATTATGGCTGTTTCTTAACAGGAGCTTTCAAGTTTCATGTAATCAAGAACAAAACCAGAGCAAAAAAGAAGAAAAGAAAGGAATAAAAATCATAGTTTTAAAAAACAAAGACCAAACCATTGTGGGTGCCAAGGTCCCTCTGTGATCTCTTGTTAGTATTGAGTAGGAACTTTTTGATAATGAATTTTTTGAAGGGGGAGAATCTGAAAAATGTTGTAATCAAAGTGGTTTCTGATCTAATTTTAGCTAATTATATCAAAGCTTTTTTTCTGTCATTTAGGCAATGTTGCATCTTTGGGTGATGATTGTGTTGCTGACATACCAGCCAGAGATGCATGGAGATGGCCATGGACAACCATTGCCTCCATAGTGCTTGCTCAATATAAAATGAGTGCTGGCACTCGATGTCTGTCATCTTTAAAAACTGCATGGTGTGTGGTTACCACAAGGGGAACAACTCTTTCAGTTCACAGGATCATGATGGCCGTTACAAGCATTTCACTTTGAAGATTTGGTTGAATTTTATTTGCATCCGACTTGTAAAATAACATCCAAATACAAATCTTTTAATAGATTGTCATGAAGTATCCAAAAATGAGAGTAAGGTATGATCTTGAAACTGGAAAACTCATCCAGAAAAAATTCTTTGTATCATATAGATCAATTACACCATATAAACACTTTTTAGAGTGTTCAGATATAAATAGTTAGAATGAGAGCCGTTAAGCTTAAACAATGTCAATTTGGCAAAACAAGATTATAATTCTTCTGTTAATGATACTTCTACTGATGATAATTTGTTAAGAATCTTGTGTGGTAGATGCCTCATTCATTGTTGTATCTTAATTCATTTTGCTTATTTACAAAGGACTTCCTTGTCACATTGTAACTTCTAATTTGAATTAAATTTTTTGAAAACCTTTTTCAAAGAAATGTTTTTAAATTGTAAGCACTTTAATGTGAATATCTTTTAATGTGGGTCTTAATTTTGTAGATTTTTTTAAAATTTAAATTTTATATCCTACCAAATTAGAATTGTAATTTGATGTTTGTACTTCAAATCAGTGATATGAACATCTGATCACACAAAACTTTTTTTGAAAGTTCCTTTTTTTTTTTACTCCGACTTAAATATGAAACTTCTTCATATGAGTTACTATTTATGATTCCAATGTCAAATGCAAAGTTGAAATGATAAATTAATTGAAGCTTTATAGCATATCAATTTGAAATTAGAAGTAGATCATTGCTTAAAATCATGTTGATTAGTAATAGCAGCTGAGAGCAATTCAGTACTAAATGTCCTATCATTTTATTAATGATAATAAAATGTAAAATATTTAAGGTTAGTGGTCTGATAAGTATGTATGTTAAAGAAATAAATCTGACCCAGATGGTCATGGCAATACTTACTGAAAAGTCAATTATTTTTGTGTTATTATTTATGTTCATTTTCTGGGTATTCTTAATCAACAAATTCATATCTCTAAGAACTGTTAGAATTAGTATAAGCAGACTCACTGAACTAAATCTTCCCATGAGATTAAGTTTCCATTGAACAGTAAATTTTTCAGTTGAATCCCACAAAAATTTCTGATTCTACACTACTTAAAAACAGGAGGTGGGCTATTGAAATAGCATTGGTTATAATTTTATTGAATTATGATTCATGATTTTATATAAGTTGAGTTATAAACAGAAATTGGCATATTGCACGGTAAACATGGTATTTAAGTGTGATTAATAATTTAATGTGTGACAGTACTTTCAGTGAGTACAGTGTGTATACTGACATAATCATAAATGTGATAATTTGGGTCATGGCATTCGTTGCTTAATTTTGTATGGTTATATTCTATGATATGTGATCTTAATGATCCCATAATGTTTGATCTTATGTGATCTTGATGATCCCATGATATGTGATCATACTGACCCATGACATGTGAATTTATTGATTTCACAAAGGGTGATCTTAATGATCCCATGATTGAAGACATTTTATAAATACACATTTAATGCTACTCTTCTAGTGAGAAGAAATATGTATATAAGTAGTGACAGAGGAGGACAGAAAAAATTCATTTTGTGAAGGGAGCAAGCTTAAAATTTAGCTAAAATATTATAGGTTACAACTACAAGATTACAGGGCAGTGCAAGGAATATTTTTCTTTTCATAGTTGGAAGTTGGAAAAAAACGTCTGTTCGTATTGTCAAATAAAAAAGAAAACTATGATATTTGTATAAGAAGTGCTGTATGCTACAGTGTTTCCATGATCTGTGATACATAAACATTGTTTTGTCATTGTGTGTGGATGTCTCTGGTGATATGTGTCCTGTACACAGGGATATTTACATGGTTATGTTTCCATTGGTACACTCCTACACCAGATGCTTACTGTTAATTTATTCTGGAGTTCAGCATGGTTTAATTAGTATACGATTCTGAGATTTGACTGCTGGGTGGCAGTCTTTTCATTTTGTACCACTGATAAAATTTTCTGTTATATATTAGTTTTAAAGATGGATTTATATCATTATTCTGTGTATTATTATTTGGACACGTCCACGAGTCAACATTAATTTTGATGAGGCTAGTGCAAGAGACAGCTGTCGTCAGAGCTTGTACATGTGAATCCTAATCATTTAGGTCAAAGATTTAAGTTGAGTGAATGTGTGTGTTTGACTTCTATGTACATATGTCATAGTAGTGTATTTTTTGTAATATATTGTTGGTTAATGTAAATTATATATTATTGCTTTGAGCATAATGTGTAAAAATAAAAGAGGGAACCCTTGTACTGTATGTAGTCATCTTTCAGACACCAGGGTTTTGTTGGCTCACCATGACAAATAAACAAAAGTGAGGAATGATGTTAAGTAAATAGACTGTACTTGCTCCTATAACTAGATAACTTGTATCTTACATAGACATGTATCTTGTATCAAACGGAGACAGGTTCTTGTATCACACTGAGACAGGTTCTTGTATCATACTGTGACTTGTATTTTATATCATACTGTGACTTGTATTTTATATCATACTGAGAAGGTATCTTGTTTCATACTGAGACAGGTTCTTGTATCATACTGTGACTTGTATTTTATATCATACTGTGACTGGTATCTTGTATCATACCGAGACAGGTATTGTATATCATACTGCGACTGGTATCTTGTATCATGGACCGTTTATGTACAAGCGATAAATAACTTTTGTTGACACAATTTTGACAACTAATGCAGTATATGGACAAGTAATAAAAAAACCCCAAAAGATATCTGATTTTAAACATTTATTTCCTATCTATATTCTATCAATGAAGTTGGCACATCAATGCTGGTATGTAACATGTACCAGAATAATATCAGTACAGAGTGCAGACTACTTGATATATATAGCTGAAGTGAAGTTCCAAGGAGCTAAAGTGATTAAGCTTACCTTGTATCTAGGAGCTATATCAATGAAACAATCTGTGTAACAAGGAGGTCTACTGTCAGAGCACACTTTGTACCAAAGAGGTATACTGATGGAGGACAGCTTGTACTTAAGAGCTATATGGAGCAATCCCTGTACCCAACAGCTATACTGATAGAGCACATTTGTTACAAAAAGAAGTATATTGATAGAGCACACTGTACCAAAGAGGTATTGTGACATAGCACATTATGTACAAAGAAGTTTACTGACAGAGCAGATTTGTACAAAGGTGTATACAGATGGAGGAGAGCTTGTACCATGGAGCTTTAGGGAGCAATGCCAGGACAGAGCTATACTGATGGATCTCAGAAGACAGAATTACTATACATAGACTGAATCCACTTTGTGCAATGGAGCTTAAACCATCTTGTATCAGGGTACCAAAGATCTAGCAAGATTGTCTGGAAACGACTAGGACCTTATAGCTACAAAATGATCTTTACAGTGTTATATATCAATCGAAAGTACAACAGTATGTTAGTGTGAACCCATCAGTATCACACATACAAAGGTTGGTAAATAAGAAACAAGATTCAGCTTGATTTAAAACCAGTGGATATATAATGAATAAAAATGCTCAAAGATATATCACATATGGTTTACCAATAAGATAGAAGAGAAGTACTTTCCATTTTTGTTTAAGACAAAATGAACATCCGCTAAAGATATACATCATCATCATTAACATCACATTATAAATATATTGCATGAGAAATGTACTTAAACATCAACACCTATAGCCGGTAGAAAATTTCTAGCTAACACATAATATGGACAGTGATAACAATTCAACAACTCATCACAACATTTATAATATTACATATTTGAAAATATTCAACCTTACCATTAAATTGAATGTGTACAAGTGAATGGAGTTTTGACACAATATCATAATGATTCACTCGCAATCATTATGTATAAGTCAATGAAAATTAAAATGACAAAGGATAAGTTTAATCTGTAACAATATTATTTAAAACTATACAGTTTATATATACATGGATACATTTTGAATGAGATGTATACTAATTCTTCTGTATGCTAAAAGCCAGATTCACAACATAGCTTTACTATCATTTTGTGGGTTTAAGAATCTCACAGCTACATATGAACCATTTCTAATTCATCCTAATACGAACAATACACATCAATTCTATATGGCATCACTATCTGAAACAATATCACATAAAATTTCAGATTATTCTGAAAATACTTTTAAATGATTGTAACATCCATATTGGATAAACACTGGTAAGGTGAAACACAGGTAATGGTATCAACAACATATCCATTCCTGGTTCAACCATCCTTCAGGTTTAGAGTCACTTTAACCATCCTTCAGGTTTAGAGTCACTTCAACCATCCTTCAGGTTTGGAGTCACTCTAACCTTCCCTCTGGTTTAATCACTTTAACCTTCCCTCAGGTTTAGAGTTACTGTAGGCAGCCTAACCTCCCTTCAAGTTTTGAGTCAGTACTGTTTTCTCATTAGGCATTGATTCAAACAGTGATACTAGGGCCAAACATGACACTTCTACATTGTAATAGTACTCTGTACATTAAAAACAGTTCTGCTGTTGTAATTATTGCACTGTACTTTATTACTCAGGCTAATAGTGGTATTAAACTCTACAATGAACAGCTTCGGCTTACAACTTCTACAGATCCATGCAAATTAAAATGAAAAAAAGGAAGTCAAGTAAATTCACACCAAATACTTTGTTTTAAAACACAGATATGACTAGATGACCCAGCAGTTTTAATTTGCTTTTTTAAATGGGAATGTTCAACATTAGCACTTTTCAGAATTCATGGAAATTTAATAAAAAAGAAAATGTATCATTGATAAACATACTTAGATGTAAACAAATCCATTGTTTTGATACACAAATGGAACACAAATGATTACTAGTCTTTCAAAACAGGTAATTTCTCCTCACATCAGCTTGAAGAATATTGTTATTCCTAATATGGATTGTATATGATATGCAATATTTTGAATTATATAACAACAAAAAACAAAAACATTAAATGACACAATTAAACATTGAAATTTCAAAGTTGAAAAATTGGTTTTAGAATGAAAATGAGAATGTATATATGTGGTGCCAGATTATGTGATGGATCCAGGATTTTGGAAAGATGGAGCAAGTGGGGAGGGGAACAATAATAACAGGTAACCTCCCCAACCCAACCCCCCTTGATCCACCACTGGCCACCTTTAGGTACTAGAACATGTATAAAACTTATCCATAACCCCAGTTTTCTCTGGTTACTTACACCAGACATTAGGAATTTTGATACCAGTCAAAAAGTCTGTCTGATGACGATGCCAAAGGAAACTTAGGCAAATTTGAATATTGCTACATCTCCTCACCCTATACATACACATCTGTCAACTCATTTTGTATTCAGTAAAGTAGTAAAACCAGGGCCTGAAATATAAACTTCCATTAACATAATGATTGTGCTATAATTCTTATCTCTCATGAGACCACACTTCGGAAAGCTCCTATGTGAAAACATGACATTATGTGTTTCTTTAAATTCCTAATTTCTAAGACAATTTCCAATGGAAAAATTCCACTGCAGGAATATTTCAAATTGAAAAACATCTAATCCATATCACATAATTTTTTTTACAACACTATCATTGCAAACCACACTTCTAGTATCTGACATAAGTGGGATGAGATATATTCCATTCATAGCTATGATGTCCAAAAAACATCCAGTGACAAAATCTATTTATATTTTATGACAGGCTATCTGATATCCATGACAACACACGTGATAGGCTACACAACATGCCTCTCAATACTTAGTTTGTGTTCTATGTTAATTGACTATTAAGGAAAGATTTCATACAAATCAAACACTGGGCACCTGAAAGTGTGTAAATATAGTTATTGTTGTTAAAATTTATATACAAACATTTGTATTTACTATCATTACAAAGCTAATCTGTGAAACACAAATCTTGATGACATGCCATTTATATAAGTGGTTAGTTTTCTCCCATAATTCTTCCACCTCACAACCAATCACTTGATGTACAAGGTTGAATTATAAAAGTTAAAAGCACATTATTTTTGAAAGAGTCAGTTCTCACAATAAAAAAGTTCACCATAATTTTGTTGACTTATAACCTCGTTAGTTTTCTTTAACCTCTCAAACATTTTGTTGACTTATAACCTCGTTAGTTTTCTTTAACCTCTCAAACATTTTGTTGACTTATAACCTTGTTAGTTTTCTTTAACCTCTCAAACATTTTGTTGACTTATAACCTTGTTAGTTTTCTTTAACCTCTCAAACATTTTGTTGACTTATAACCTCGTTAGTTTTCTTTAACCTCTCAAACATTTTGTTGACTTATAACCTCGTTAGTTTTCTTTAACCTCTCAAACATTTTGTTGACTTATAACCTCGTTAGTTTTCTTTAACCTCTCAAACATTTTGTTGACTTATAACCTCGTTAGTTTTCTTTAACCTCTCAAACATTTAGTTGACTTATAACCTCGTTAGTTTTCTTTAACCTCTCACACAAACACATTGTGAATATGTTTGAATAGATAAACGGATTAGTAAATTTAAAAAAAACCCTGGGATAATTATTTGAAAAGTTTCAACAAGGTCAAAATTAACTATCCATATATTTTGTATCTGAATTCTGACATTTGCCATTCAAATTTTCACACTAAATACAATATTCGCAATGCATATATATTTCCTTTCAACCATAATAGTTCTCAAAACTAGTTTCTAGTTGAAAACCGATCCAGGCAATTTTATCAACACTATGATGGAGAGTACTAATTACCAGCAATACATCAAAGCATCAATATCAGTCTTATGTCATAGCATAGTAATAAAATGAAAACTATTGGCAGAAAGTATTGTCAAGAGGTTATCGCAGGTCTTCTGAGTTGATAGTTTTCTTGACACGTAAAAGTATCGTAGTAGTCCACTGGTCTAGGCGTGAGATACTGTCATATTCTTTCACTGCATCTGTATATGTGTCTGTGTTCTGTTCTTCACAAGCCTCCAATAATTTCTTTAAACATAAACAAAACATGAAATAAACAGCCCAGAAAAGTAAGTATGCAATAAAACAGAACAGATGAAAAATGGATGAAAATCAACTGAAGTCACATTTATACCAATATAACTACCAACAAATGCCAAGGTTGATGTCATTTTATAACAATGTAGGTGATGATGTTGAAAAGTTGCAACTGAAGCTTGATGTGGAATTTGTATGAAGTAATTACTAATTTCACTGTCAGTTAATCTGTAATTGAAACTTGATTCTGTATTTGAAAAAATATGGCTATGATGAGTATTGCTGCATAATGGCAGTAATGATATACCTTTACAAGTTTATACTCCCTGGAGTCGGCAAATTGTGGAAACATATCCTCATATTTCTGGATTGCAAGTTGAGCATTGAGTACATCTACACACATATGACACAGAGCTGCCTTGAAGAAGTAGTCCTTAGCACTGTACTTTAGCAGCTGGTTATCCATACAAGACATTCCAATCTGGCAATCACAACAATAATTATTAATTATTATTACAACTAAGGGAGATAATTCAAAGAAATTTGAACACAAGAAACCCAGTGTTTTGCTTTGTTTCGTCAACAAAACTTGATACAAAGTTTGAACAAATGAGAAGAATAAAGCTTTGTTTTGATGTTAAACTGTTATGTTATTTCAAATGTATCACTGTTATTTTGTTGTATAGTCAAATAATTCTGAAGTGGTAAAGGCAGGAAATGTTGGAGTACACATACCTCTTCATAAATCTTTATTGCCTTCTCATACTGCTCCAGCTGGGCTGCATAATGAGCTACTTTTACTAAACACTTATTGGCTGAGCTGGAATATGAAGACAAACATATCTTAGACATAAAGTAAAGAATACTTTAACAATGATATATGCATAACTATAATACATGGCTATATAAAAACATAACTATATAATACAGCTATATAAAAACATAACTATATAATACAGCTATATAAAAACATAACTATATAATACAGCTATATAAAAACATAACTATATAATACAGCTATATAAAAACATAACTATATAATACAGCTATATAAAAACATAAAAATGATATGGGTATATAAAGAAAACAGAACTTTATGATATGGGTATATGAAGACAAACATAATTATATGATATGGTTATATCAAAAAACATAAATATATGACATGGGTATATAAAGAAACCATAACTATATGATAGTATATAAAGTAAACATTACATTATGATATAGGTATATAAGTACCTGAAATATCACATTGTTAACACCATTATATTTCAGCGAGATATTTGATAAATCATTGATATTACAACAATTCCTAATAAGATATTATCTTACCTCTTAGATTCCTCTCCTTTATAATAATCAGCTGCTTGTTCATAGCTGGATATAGCCTGGAATGACAAAGGAAAGACTGATAATGTACCCATGATATCTAAACACATCCTTGTGTGCAGAGTACACTGTGTCATGTGGGTGAGTGTGATACTACAACGGTTCATAACAACCTTAAACATTCATCAATTGCTTACCTACCTACAGATATAATATTGTTAAACTTACCTTTTCAATATCGACCAGTTCTGATTCATAAATTTCTGCAATATTTACATGATGCTTTGCAGCAATAGAAAATCTTCCCTGAAAAAGAAAGTGAAGCATTAATTTCAACATAAAATACTGACAAGTACAATTGTCTACCAAGCCCTAATATCATAAAAATGAGAAAAAATATTTTACTTGCTATGAAAGGTCATAGCTTTTCCCATTTAGATTTATAATTTATCAATTAATCACTGGTTATATAATACAAAAAACATGACCTTGGACTCCAAGTTACTGATCAGTAACAGATATGGGTGAGCTTATTACAAGTTAGGAGTAGAGCTAGTAACAAGATAACTAATTTACAATTTATTTGTAATTCTACTGATCAGTAATAGATATGGATAATTTTATTACAAGACATGGGCTTATTGCTGGACAAATATGGGTACAGCATATTCAACATAAAAACCTCTAATACACATACCATATCTGTATATATTTCTACAGCTTTCAATAAACACGTAACAGCCTCTGAAATAACAGTATATCAGACTGATTATCAACATTGTCTTTTCTTATTTATAATAAGTATTTACATTTCCATGGCAAACTCAATATCTGAATAATATAATTGATGTAATTATAAATTAATAATTGAAATTATCAAATACATATACAAATGTATATTATTTGAGCATGTTAAGTAGGGAAATGCCTATAGTATGTTAAAACTTTTATTTAGTAATGTTTAAGAAGATACTAGGACTAAGATACCATTTGGGTCAGCCTTTCTATAACAGTTTCCAGCATCTACATAGTCTGTAGCAGCTTGATGATTACTTCCAACCTTCAACTGCAATAATGCTGCTTTACAAAAGGAACTTCCTGCCTCTGAAAAAAGTATTTATACACTAATGAATTCAAAGAATAATGTGTGGCCACATAAATGTAATATTCATTTGGATCTAAATTTTTGATAAAAAAAACTTAAAAGGACATCAGAGTGAAAAGTATGATCCAATCCATATGCAGAAAATCAATCTCTATATATTTCTGTACTTTCATCTCTGGACAGATCTTTCCAAATAAAAACTTTTTCAGTAATTTTCCAACTGTCCAGCTTGCCTACTTTTTTTAGCTTAAACTAGAATCAACACAATAAGAAATTGGTGTGAAATTAAATGTTATATACTGACCTGTCCATTTCTTTCCCATCTTGAACATGTTAGCTGCTCGTACATACAAATCTGCAGCATCTTCAAGTTTACTCTGTGACCTGTTAGCAATATAACATAATGTATTCAAAGATGCTTCATATCATCTCTATTACATGAATTTGGGATACCTAATCTTATTGGCAAAAGGCTATCTATCTCCAAGCTCGGACAGCAAGAGGATGCCAAACCTCAATATTGGCAAGAGGATTTTAATATCACTTAAAGAAATATGTTTCTGAGGAAAACTCATATTGCACTGGATGAAAATACATATATATTTATATAAGAATTTACTAATCCTACAGTTAGTACTGAAAGGGGAGGTTATATCATCAAATCTGATGCGTAACATTACTTTTTAAATACTGTTAAGTGTTCGTTTGAAGAGTTTAACAAAAATGTCCTCCTTGCACTTTTGTACTTTCAAGATGTTAACAGAGAAACCTTTCCTCTCTTAGGCATTCATATTTGTTGTCTGTACATTTAATGTTTGTCTAATAGTGCATTACCCATTTGTTCTATTTATGATGCTTGTAGCAAGTAAGGCAGGTAATGCAATAGACTAGATTCCTACTTTTACAGGTTACTAATGGTAAGTCAATGTTGGGTTTAACTGTTTTGCCATTTTTCAGATTAAACAGAGTATGTGATGTATGTATACACATTCCACATTTCTCATTCCCACTCTGCTCTTTGCTGAAAACCTTTCAGGTGTTTCAGCTGTCATTTTCCCTGGGGTAGGGAGGTCGGCGACGGTCATTTACAGGCTTATTACGTTCTGTTGGAGCAAAAAACCCCATTTTTTCGGGTTTTTCACACTAAAATTAAAATATCAAATAAGCGTAGTTGGGGGATAGAAATATATCAAAATAAAGTTTAAGACTTCTATTTTCTTATTTTGGTAATTATTTTGTAATAAGATATAAATTCCTACCATTGCATGGAGTTCGAAGTGAAGTCGTTTCCAAAAATTCGGCCGCCATGTTGATTTATGTGTCAACAAGTGTGCCAAGTTCAGAATTAAATCCGCTGGCTATTACTGGACCAATTTTTACCATTAATGGCTTAAAATTTAGGAAATATAGTCTAGTTTTTGAAACTGAGTGATCTCTTTTGAAAAAGTATAGGGATCACACTGTAAAAAATATAAATTTGCAAAACAGTGTTTTTTTACCGTGATATCACTTCGCCGCGAACAGGGATCACTCGGATTATGGTAGCCTGGACCTTCATCTAGCGATTGGTAACCAAGGTTTCAACAAAATAACAAGAGCAGCCAGCGGAAATCATTGGATATTTGAATGACTTTTGCCACAATGTTTTGTTCGTATGAGTTATCGAACTTTGCTGCTGCTGCAGGCCGGGTGCAAATCCTCCCGACCCGGTAAACAAAATTGACCAATGGGACATCAGTATGTCCATTCGGAACATTTTGGGGTTTTTATTTTAAATATCAAAGGAAACATTCGATTTTCTTTAGGATTTATATAAAAGTATGTTTTAGAACAAAAGAAAAAACGCGGGGGGGTGGGGAATAGTTGCTGTGGTTAAGAAAATATGTTTGGGGGTATAACAAAAACATTTTCTGAACACAGAACCATACTTTACTTTTCTTAATCTTTTAAGTCACAAATACAAATTATTTTCCATGAAATAAATGAATGAACATTTGATAAGAAAACAATTTTCTCTGTAAAATATCATGATTATACTCCCTCTCAACTAGCCCATTCTTCTTAACTCAGAAAGTTGATTTTGGTCTATATCTTGGTTGTTAAATTCCTTCTGAATGTAAGAACTGCCCTTCTTTATCAATGCAAGGGGGTATTGTTGAAGTGAAAGAAAGTTGTTTTATTTATTTTGTTGAAATTCTTTATATTTTTAATTGTTTTGCTAATTTATGACACTTTTTAAAATCTCTTTTATTTATTTAAGTTTTATTTTACCTTATTTTGGTTTCTTTTTAAGTTGTCAAATTTTTCAGAGGAAGAATAATAATTGTGATTTATTTTATTTAATTTTTAATCTAAATAAATCTTTTTCTAAAAAAAAAAATTATTTTGATTTAGTTTCTTTTTAGTTTTTTTACACGCTCTGATATACTGAATTTCATTTTATTTTTGGTAAGTGTGATAAGTTTTATTTACAATCCAATACACTTTTTTATTTGCAGTTTGATAAGTATGTGATGATTGTTTTTACTTTTTTTTCAATACTATCAATGAATTAATTAGATAACAATTTTTATGACCGTTAAATTTTAACATTGATGTTGAAAATAACTTATGCTAGATAATGACAGATTTACCTATTTTTTGTGCTTTTATCTTAATCTTAAGGATAAACTTATAAAGACAAGAATAACCGTGTTTCAACTCTTAAGGCTTATAAAAGGTGAACTAATATCAACAGGAACATTTTTTCTCAAATGATATTGTTTGTAGGAGTAAAAAAAAAATTGGGGGGGGGGGGGGGGGGGGGGGGGGGGGTTCACCTTCTGAGAATGTTTGATTTTGGGGTAGGGCTAGGTTTTTATAGAAATACTTGGTGCTGTTAATAGATAGAGGTACAAATATGTGCTAGTTGCATTCTACATATTTCTATCTTTAAAATGATACCTTATACACCATACAATAGTTTATATTCTTCTCGCATTTCATGATTAAACACAAATTTCAGGTTTTATCCAAAATTTTCAAAACGTAGAAAAACAACCTTAAATGTTGCAAAAAATTGTTGTTTTGAGTTAAAACTTGATCATTTGTATGTAGAAATAAGCATTCTTATATAAATTGTCATTTTATTACCACCTGGGAGTAGTTGAAGATCTTTTTGTCCTGAAAAAATGTTATTTTTCGTCTTTTCGGGGCTAAAAATATACCTCTTTGGCAGCTGTATTTTGGAGCTGTTGCTTTCAAAAAAAATTTTTAGGGGAAATATTACATATTTTCTGATAAAACATACAAAGATCAACAAGAAACACCATATAAAAAAAATTCCAGATTTTTTTTGAGCTTTCTGCATCAAAAAAGTCATTTTTTCTGAAATTTTCGATTTCGTCTCAAAAAGGGGCTGCGCAGGGTATTTGATATCAAAATATTTAAAAAAATAATGATCTTAAACCCTAACTGGAATTTTTTTTCAAGAAAATGCATTGTGATCTGTAAAAATAAGGAGATTTGGATAAATTGGGTGATTACTTTTTAAGATAAAGTTCTTCAAAAGTGGTAGTCTAGCAAAGAGGGGTGCCGACACATTTCTCAAAAAAACTAAGTCCAAACGAATAATTCCTCATGTTCAGCTGCCAATTTTTTTTTTATCTGTCCCCACCTAAACTAAGTAAATGTTTCTTTTTGAAGCTTAAGGGGAACTTGGCACCCTACAACAATCAGACAATACATATCATAACCACATTTTCAGATATAAGGCCTCAAACATGCCTCTTTTAGGGACTATTTGCTAAAAACAGA